CAGATAGTTGTATAGTTGCCCTATGATACCTAGAGAGATATTAATATCTGCTATACAGTTGTGTCATATTAACCATTGTAAGCTACTTACTACGCGTGTGTAATCTGGCCGTATACAGGGTACCTCTGGTGACGAAAGCTGATTTGTATCTAGAAGCTGACTTAGAGAATGCCGAGAATTTTCCTATACTTAATCAGTAGTTACTTAGAAGCTAGTAAAAAGTAAGACGTTTAAGAATTGTCGGTTTAGTTAGCCACTATACGTGAGCAATTCGCCTACGAACCTTCACGTAGAAGCGAATGATATCGTTAATATGTAGTTCCCCTGAGGCTGCCTCACTTTCTTTGAGTCTAGTGGTAATTAGACGTCCTCCCTTTAAAGTAATTTTGCCGCAGTCGACCGATCAACATCCGTATTAGCTCGACGGGCGGTGGCAGGTGCAGCAAGTTGTGGCATCGAACCCAGACGTCTGGGACGGACGGGATCGGGTCCAAGGACTCGGGCCGCATGGCTTGAGCCGACGGTCATTTCGAAGAAGAGCCACAACCTAACCCCTGCTCCCATCCCCCCCGGAGAAAAGTGAGGCGTCAGTACCAAGTACCCAATGCTATTGACGCCCCGATACTCCTGCAAACTGCTTGTCTGCAGATCGCCCCAATCAGAAGAGAAACGACGAGCCCGGAGAGGGAGGGGGGGTCCCTGCATGATGATTTCCGTAGGAACACGAAGACCCCTAGAATGGTCGAGTGTACCTAGGTATTTCTAGTCTTATACGTATCTGGTAGAGGTCATCGCAGGTGTCACCCGCGTCCCCGACTAACCTTTCAGCGTAAATTAGGAAACAAGGCGCATGGTCCTTAATGAAGCTCCCCGGTAGCCCTAGTAGCAGATCTCACGAGCCTCACAGGGATGTGATGCCTAGCGAGATAATCTACAGAGTTCACTAGCATACAGGGCTACGTAATTCGCTGTTTGCTCACGTTTGCGCTCGTTCATGCGGAGAGCCGGGGCACGCTCCGTCCAATAGTAGCACACTTAGGTCTTGGAAGAATTGATTTCGAGGCGCGTCACAACAATGTACGTTCCTCCATGTCTTGGATTTGCGCCGTAATACTATGAACGTTTTTTTTATCGTTGCTAGCGAGCTGTAGTACGTAGGTTCGGATTGTCAGGTACGGATTCACTTTTGTTACATCGTGTGGCGCTCCGTTTTAGCGATCATTCAAGTCACTTTAGCACTTACAGATCGGAAATTTTGAAGCTATACAGTAATATCTGCTTACGGACGAGATCATTGGCTGTGCTGCGATCTAAGGTGCTTAAAAAATGATTAGTTCCAATGAAAGCTCATATACATAGCGGCCGATGGTTAAACCATGATCTAGGCGAGAAGATCAGTACGTATTCGATTAATCTCTTGCCTAGCTGAAAGTTATATATTAAAAGCATCCGAGTAGCTGAAGAGGGCTGTGGTGAGTTGTAACCAGACTAGAGCACATATAGTATTGTGATAGGGATTGTAAACTGGTACCGTAAAAACTCTGTAATAAGTTCATGCGGCGGTGGCGATTTTCTTGTGGTGTCCATGCGTACAGTTGATAGGCAAGTAGGTAAGTAGGTTAGGTCGTATCAAGAGTGTTAGTCGGCCTCATTATCAGCTGGCATGAGGACTAAGCCTTAAGCACTACGGCACATCCGGTCGAATAGTCTTAGTAGGTGATATCGTGGACGTAGGTAGATTGAAAAAATTTACTTGTCAAGTATCAAATAAGGTCATAGTCATTGTCTACACTGATTCTAATCCAGTAGTCGGAAGCTAGCTCCATTATTGCTGTTGACACACAGCATGGCCGCTGTATCACCGATGCCCCATCCGCCTGGTATTCGGTGCTGCAACGTTCCGGGACGATGGAGATGCTGTGTTCCGGACGTTGTGGCTTGGTGGGTCCTGACAGATATTACCTATTTACGGACATAAACCGATTCCGACGCCACAGTTGTGGGATTGCTGTAGTGTTTACAATTACAAATAACTAGGTTAGTTTGTTGAACTAATAGTCGATTTTTACTATTATTGTTAAAAATGCTTTTAGAGGGGGCAACAATGGTGTCTAGGCCTGGCTGAAGCTGAACTTGATATGCTTGGTTAGGTGATTTTAGGTGGTAACTAATATATCCCTTCTTTCGTAGGACCTGACCCCCTCGGCTCCGGATCTGCACTGTTTCAAACGTGTTCGTGACCGACCGGAGCACATTCTATTTGCTACCAGAATAAATAAGGGCTGAGCCGAAATAACATTGATCTGTTACTGGCTACCTAAGTCGTCCTGTAATTTCTTTTTCCGAAAAGCCTGTATAAGTCAATGTAGGGTAAGAATACTAAACTCCTACAAGGGGGGGGGGACATATCCTAAGGGAAGAGTTCCTTGTAAGTCAATTTTATGGGGTAATTGAAGCCGTTCCGCAGCCGCTTGAGCTCCCAACTACGGAATCTAGATCAAGGTACTTCCTGGAATATTCCTGGAATAATTCGGGAGGTCATATATTATCGAGGCGTTATACCATACTCCCGGGGCTTAATGTCTTCCGTATTTGTCGCGTGACCCTCTTTCATCGGATCTTCGATGTAGGATTAAATGATAACTCGGTTACCTCCGAGGGGCTAGATTGTATGTACTATTAAAAACACCTAAGGCTACCTAGGTAATAATGAAGCCCATACATGATAGAGAGGGCTAGATGGGATGCACATCAGGGTAACGACCCTGTCTCAGAATTAGCCCCGGGTGTCGAGAAGCACAGATTCTCGGAAGGCAAAGCAGATTATCAGATCAGAGACTACCTAACCTAGATAAAATAAATCTTAAGTATTAATGTTCTAACTATGTACATCATCTTAAACAATTCATCGGCTATTGTGCATATTAGGAGTAAGGTAGAATGACGCAATGCATATGAAGTAGAACATTTATTTCCCCTGAAGGTCTTAATGTAAAATGTACACTTATTAATTGAAGTCGAGAAGTTGAACATAAGTGGTTCGGTCGTCGGAGATGCACATATGACCTTTAGTTTTTAGTTGGAAGCTTCCGTTGTCTGTAGATGCACCTACATGTATGCACCATTTACCCACCTAGGTAAGGTGTATATAAGTGTACCAAAGGAGTATAGGTGTGGGAATGTGGGAATGTTGTAACTATACGGGAGGATTAGCGACACTAAATTGGTAAGTGTGGTAAGTGTGTTGAAGTATGGTAAAGTGTGTACTATATTATACTAGATTAGGTGCGCTGTTACGAGGATATATGGCGGTAAGTTCCTGCAACCCCCACCTGAATATAGGGCATTCAGGGCAATTCAGGGGGTGTTTTTCTTTCACACAAGTACCTACTTCTATGTATACCTACAGATATTTAGCTGGTGGCGTTCGCAGGAAGTGGGGCCGGCGCAACCCTTAGTTCCGTCCCCGTCGTCGCCGCAAAACTCTGTCTAGGCTTTCTATCCAATGGTTCAATTTTTGCTCTAGTTACTCTCCGATCTCTTCCTTTCTTTGACCAAGCAGGACAGGGATTCCTACTTACCTACATGACACTTGCGGCAGCGACCCTGACTTTTCAACCCTCTATGTAAATCTGGGACTTAAAACCCCCTTGGAAAGCCCAGGAAGCCCTGAGGAATGCTTCGCAGGGCCTTGCAGGGCCTTGCAGACCCCCTCGTTAGGCTAGCCAGGGCCCTTTATCCGCCATGCGCGAACATATGCATGGCATGTCTCTTGCAGCCTCATCTTCACCAATTCATCAAGATCATCGTCATCATCGTTCCATATTTTCTGCTGCTTAGATGCTTCGCGAATCCTTATAGACCTTGCTCTGCTTATTCAAACTGACGTCGAGCTTTAGAGATCATCCATCTCTTTTACCTTGTTCGCCCGCTCGCATTTGATTGTGTTGGATGAGAGAGCTATCATGTAAGTCGCGTCTAGTTCTGATTTTATGTTTTGATCTTCGCCTATAGCTCCTCGCCAACCCGCCAACCCGCCAACCCACCAACTAGACCCCCCAATTCGAATCTAACCCAAAATTTTTGTAAGACGACAGGTCAATTCCTTGCGTCATCGCTGTTAGAGCCGCCCTATACTGCTTCTGGGAAGATCCCATCGAAGTGGACCGACAGGATTGGAAAATATATACGGACCTACAGAATATCGGCCGGGTCGGAATCCAATTGCGAGTCATGTTAAATACCTGACTTGCTACTTACGTGTATACTTCTGCAGCTTTGACATGTTCCTATTCTCGGACCATGCCTCTTTTCGTCCTTCTTGTTACTAGCTCAACCCTGTTCGGTACAAGCACCAAGCCTCACAAGTGTGATCGCCCCCCCACAATGATTACATCTAGATCCTGTCGTTAAACCGAGTTTACATGCCGCAAGTGGCGGACCCTCTGGTATAGTTCTCATGGTTCAGCTGCCGAGGACCGGTTACTGTGACCTCTCTTGTGACCTAGTCACATTGATTTGTTCTTACTTTTACTTTTTTATTTCTTTTTTATTTCCCTTGGTATTTCGGGTACCTAGTGACTTACAGCCTCCCCTTTCCCCTTGACTCGAAGTGGACTGGTCTAGGGCGAAGATGATGAAAAAGGCAAGGACAAGCTACAAGTCTTGAAAGTGGTATTAAAACCTTCAACGGCCCGCCGTCTTTACCTAGTCTCAAAATCTATCATCCGGTTAACTTCCTCTCTCTTGATTGGCGTACCGCGGGTCAATTCGATGTGGAGCATCCGCGATGCTTTAGATTGGTACGCTTCCTTTCTTACTACTCGATAAACTACACATCTTACCTTTTCGTCACTTGTACGAACTGGATATTATATCTAGACTTTTCAAAGGCTCAGTTAAGTGTTACTAGACACTCCCGGAACTCGTTCGTTTACAGAGAGGCCGCCGCTCTGGGTTTTAGATCTACTAGGCACAGCTACCGGCGTAAGCTTGACGGCATGCCATTTCGTCCTCAGGGAGGTGGGCCTCCCGGATTCCCTATGCCGTTTCACTCGTCCCAGTCCCGGTCACCTCCGCAGGCTTCCTCATCACGAGGGATGGCGCCTGGGATAGATCCGTCGGGTCCCTTTATCCCTTTTCGAGAATCACAGTTCGATATTCTCGAGTGGTACCCTCAATTTCAGTCATGTGTCAGGTACTTTTTGGATCACGCCCAGCACAGTGGTCCTGTACAGGCCGTTGCGGCATTCATAAATATACAATTACCTTTTCAGAAACAGCAGCATCCTGTTATCTCGTCACAATTGCCCGGATCGCCGGCGGGCGTGTCGTCTCCGTCACCAATTCTTCCAATACCGAATCGTGCACCAATGTCTATCTCTTTGACGCCATACATCCGGCGGCTAGTAGCAACCGGTTTAGATCTTCCGGGTGTATTGCATGGGTTCTTTGGAGACGACTGGGTTGCCGGGATAGGGCACCTTCATGAAGTGGAGCGGAGAAATTTCCTCTTTGCCGCTAAGAGTGCCGGCTGGCTGAAGGTTAAGTCACAATACGACATGCCGGATGAGCAGACCATTCCTTTCCTACGTCCTCTCCAGAACGTCACGGAGAAAGAGATTGTTAGCGCAGAGGCAAATTGGAGCGAGTGGCTGGCAATGCAAGACTGGATGGTCGGTCCTAGATCACCTGATGTCGATAGAGACATGGCAGTTGTGAAGAGCGAAGATGCCTGATATATGAAGCGGGCATCGCTAATATAGTCTCTGCATACCTTAGGAGGACAGTGGGCAACCGAGATACATGATGCCCGGGTATTAGATGGGATAGACAGGGTATAGGGGTTGACTGGATGCGGTTTGCTCTGGGGGAAGGGATCAGGCAGGCGTAAGGGTTTCATTTCACGGCACCAGAGATGATTAACTAGAGATCATCAAGCTGAGGGGTTTTATTTTAAGTACCCTCAGGATAATTGGTCGACTTGAGTGTACCGCTACGCGCGCCTTATACTTATCCACGGGATGGAAGGGAAAACGCGGGCGATTTTCTATAAAAGACTGGATTGGTTCGAACTGATTAGGAATTGTTAGTTTTGTAGATACCTACATGTATCTTTGGTCTTGCGTAGGATATAATGGGGCGGCAGGTATAATCATTAAGTTGAACTCGAAATCTGTTTACATTCCATATATGCGTGGTATTGGATGTGGCGTTTTTAATCTTTGGCTCGCTTGTCGCGGCATGAAGATAAGGGGGCTTTTGCCATCTATTCCATTGAAGAGTCTTTTGTAGAGCATGCATGGCCCAAGCTCCATATCCTAGCTAGCACGTTGTAGCCCTAATTGTGCCCCTGGCCTTGGCTGGAACCCAGGCTGGATTAGCAACAAGAGCCACTAAATAGGTACTTAGGTAGCTTAGTCGGAGTACCTACCGATAGTGGGCAAGGTAGTAGCGCTAAGATAACCACCGACGTCAATTTGTCACTACCAGATTTCTGAGAGTTCAGCCTCGTGAATTCAAAATCTACAGTTACAACATACAAACACAACACACACGCTTAACACACAACGCATAAAACCTATGATAACTATAAAGGAAAACACGAAATACAGGGTCAAACATAAATCTATTAACCACGCACCGTCAATGTACCAATCAATATCCGATATTCGAGGACCTAAACACGCTATTTGAAAATGGAGATGGATGTGGATATGATAAAGGCGGAGGACAGCTTGACAGATGGATTTATACAAGATCATATCAATCCGAGAGAGGAGTGGGATAAGTTTCTTAATAGATGCTTGTCGTCTCGTCTTGACGTAGATACTTTTGAGTCCTATATTCCTATGATGCATTCGAGATATCCATTGCCTCCAGTTATCATCGCCGACATTTTCTTGAAACCCCAACCTTCGAATCCCGAAAGCCTCGACCCTCGCGTCCCACGATATTTTCAAGGTCTAGTCAAATATAAGCTCATAGATACTCCATCTATACTCAAGGCTTTATACAAGTATTCGACATCACATGCGCAGGCTTCGAAGGCCGGCAATGGTTCATTAGAAAATTCAGAGAATAAGACACCTCTAAGATGGGGTAACTCTTATAGTGCCGAAGAGGTTATCTTCTATCGCCTCACGAAAGCCGTCGCTATGGGGTCTGGTATCGGAAGTTCCGGGGATGCCTTACAAATATGCAAATTGATAGCCCAGTGGATGACATTATTCACTTCGGCTTCGACAGCATTTGCGCACGATGTCATGAGCCAATTGCATAGCCCACAATCCAGGGATGAAATGGAAGCAGCTAGAGCTGCGTTTGTTATGCTTCTATTAGCTATTTGTGAGAGCCAAACATTTCTAAACGCTCTCAGCCGCCCGTTTGCGAAATGTACGTGTTTGTGCATTGTATTTCTCGTCCCTAACATAAGTATGATTAGTCTGACATTATATAGATGCGCGAAGGGCCCTATCGGAAAGCCTAGCAAGCTTTATTCCATCTATCCTCCAGAGTGCATCGCAGATTGCCAGTCGGCTCGAGCTATTCCGCACCGAGACTCTTGCTTCTTTCGAGCCGGCTGATAAGAACAAGGACACCACCAATTCTGGGTTCGACGATATTGAGTCGACCATGGCTCTAGACAATTTCGTCGTACCTGATCTGCCAAATGTTAACTCGCGAGCTGGCTTATACATTTACTTGAATGCCTCAGTAGGATTCCGAAGATACACCTGTATGAAGTAAGGACTAATCATGTTTAGCTTGTTGGGAGACCCTTGATAGATGACGCTGCTCTCTTCAACTATTTGCATAATAGGTATCAGGTATGAATCACACTCGACACGCTGTTCGAATAAATATGTTAACATAAGGTAGGGAGATATACAGTCCACAACAATTGATCTAATACTAGCTTCCTTCGATGTTCTCGCAAACGCAGTATTTCGTAATGAAGGCCACCAGGCGAGCTATCTCCTTCGATCTTACTTGATCAACAAATTACCTTTGCTTTTAGCAACGTTAGCGACGTCCATGTACCCTCCGCTGTCAGCTCAATTCTGTATCACCGAGGCACTCAGTCATGTTGACACTAATGCTTTCCCAACCCTCTCTGCCATGTTTGATGATACACACAACAGCAATACCTTTACCGACAGCGTCCGTCAGGATTTCTGTTTTGCTTGCTGTCTACATGGGTTAATCCCAGAGTCAAGCATTGAAGGTTTACTCGGGGAGATTACTTATCAAACCCTACCACAGGCAGGCCGGTATGTTAAGGAGCAATTAGTCGAGGAATGCATGGGCGATCCCGAAAGGATTCAACGACTGATTGGCGAACTGGACAATATGGACGGGAACGTCGGAGCAGTTTGTCAAGCTCTAGCAGAGGTAAGCACCTGAACCATACCGACATTAAGACTCTAGTACTAAAGGAAGAACGCTAGGTGATCGGTCGTCTTTGCAATAACAAAGAAACTATGACCTTGAAGCTTCTCTGTAGCCAACTTGCTAAGAAGCCGCTACTACTAGATGTAATGCTTCTATTCTGCAAGCCAATTACTATGTTACACCCTCTCTGCGAACTACTAGATAATCACTGGCGTTACGAAGAAGATCAAGGGGAATATCAACCAGTTTATGAAGAATTCGGGTCCGTACTTCTTTTGGTATTGGCATTCGTTCATCGCTATAATCTTTCGACCATGGATCTCGGCATTAGACCTGATTCGTTCGTAGCCAAATTACTTAGCGTGCACCAACTGAACAGGCCGTTAGAGGAGTTAACAGATCGAGAAAACGGCCATTTGGATGGTTGGATACGCGGCCTTTTTGATACTGAATCAGGTGGGCTAGCAGACGAACTGTTATCTTCGTGTCCTCCACAGGATTTCTATCTACTTGTGCCCACACTATTCCACCAGATTGTTCTCGCATATTGCACAAACCATCTCGACGAAGAAAGCCTCAAGACCGGTGTCGAATGTAGGTTTCAAATTAGCAAATTCTCCTAGATTGTGTACTAATTTGGATCTAGATTTAGTGAATACGTTCCTACTTCCATCCCTCGTGCCGGCAATTCTATACATGTCTAATCTGCTTTGGGTGGAGCTTAGCCATGGTCAGGAACACAAAGCGGTTATCAGGATCTTGCAGCTAATCCTCTTAACTAAACAAGGCTCAACTGAGGCCCAAACGATGCTATCTTCTGTTGTGAACATCATTGCTATACCGCTGGATTACTCACTGCGATCATGTCAGCGATGGGAACCCAAGAACCAGGCGATAGAGCCTCTCCTTAAAGCGATGAGAGAAAATATCCGCCTCTCGCGACGAACTGCGAGCGCTGCAAATAATGAGCTCGAGGCATGGTGTAGTACAGCGAATGGGGGGCTTGCCGCGCTTGTTCGGCATTTAGTGCAAAGCTTTGTATCGTGGAGCGTTCATCCAGGCCTAAATGTGGTGCCAACTTCATATATGCATCGCCAGATTCTAACTGCTTTACGAATGCTTGGCGCAAAGCGATTTCTATACATCGTCCTAGAAGAAGTCAAGGTGCAGACTGAGGCTGGTAACGGAAGTATTGCCCATGATATCGCTACCGCCCTCATATGCGCTCCCGATGTGACCAATCTGCCGCCACCAACGGAAGCGGTGCTTCATTTAGACTCGGCAAACCGACCCTACGTACCTCCACAATTACGAACTTCCCTTCAAGCGGCCTTGAAGGCGGAGGCGGAAGATTGCAAAACCATTCAGAAGTCGGATCCGAGCATGGCTGAGATCATCGTTCGCCTGTACCGCAAAGTCGAGGCGCAGATGCTCATGCCTCCACCTACCGAGTCGATACTGCAAGGCGACCTGGCTAATTTGGGACTGGGAGAGAACGCGCACGCGCTCGGGGATGCGTTAGCTGCAGCCGCCCAAAATGAGAGCTTGGGGGCAAACGACGGGAGCATGAATTTAGATCTTGGAAGCGGTGGCCATGATATGGGCCATCTCGGTGGTCCAGGTGACTCTAGTCACCATGGCGGAATCGACTTTGGATCGAGCGACGATATGTTTAGCGGTCTCGGAGGCGGTAGTGGTGGTGCTGATCTTCTTGACAGCTGGGATTTAACTTGAGCAGTGCTATGAATACCCTTTCTATTATTGGATTAAGCATAGGCGTGAGCAAGGCGTTTTACGTGAGTAGGAAAAACTCTTCCTTGTTTGGGTAAGATTTGGCTAAGAAATAGCTATAACAACCTATAATGATATAATTTAGCTAGGTATTCTTAGTAAATTTAAGCACCCAACCTAACCCAATGCTTTTTGTCAATGCCTCTATTCCCAAGCACGCAATCCAACCCCTGTAATGCGGTCATTGGAGATAAGTAGGATATTCGATTACCTAACTAGCATCATAGCTACATTCTGGAAATTATGTGGAATACGATGTAGCTATCCCTATAATAACTCTTGTAGTTCTGCAATCCTAATTTTCAACTGAAATTCTACTTCCGAAATAAATTCATGCTTCATGTGAAGGGAGGCTTGAATATACATAGAAGGGTAGAAATGTGGACCACAGCTCTAACCGCTTTGTTATGCGCCACCGGCTCCGGCTTGGTTGGAGCTACGTCAAACTCAGGTCCGGACCAAAAACCGCTTGGTCCTGGTCATGAGATAGAGACACAACCGTCACGATCTCAACCTAATGTCGTGTTTGTTTTAACAGATGATCAGGATGTACACTTATCGTCGCTAGATTATATGCCATTGGTCAAGAAGCATCTATTGGACCAAGGAACGCGGTTTAGTAGCCACTACGCAACGACGGCCGTGTGCTGTCCATCAAGGGTCACGTTGTGGACGGGGAAGTTTGCGCATAATACAAATGTTACGGATGTGAGCCCGCCGTACGGGGGGTATCCTAAATTCATATCGCAAGGTTTCAATGACAACTATTTCCCAGTCTGGCTACAAGAGGTTGGGTATAATGTATATTATACGGGAAAGTTGTTTAACGTGCATACGGTGGAAAACTACAACTCACCAGCTCCAGGAGGGTTTACGGGCTCGGTATTACCACATAATCCCCTGCCTACTTCTTGTTTAGGTGTTCCGATTTGAAGCTAACTTAGACTTAGGACTTCCTACTTGACCCCTATACATATAACTATCTGAACAGCACGTTTCAACGGAACGGAGAAGAGCCGCGTAGTTATGAAGGGCAATATAGTACTGATGTGTTAGCGGAGAAAGCGTATGGACTACTGGATGAAGCTGTTGATGCCGGAAAGCCTTTCTTCCTCGTTGCCGCACCGATTGCTCCTCACGCCAATGTTGTGATGAAGGATTCGGCCTCGGGTAGTCATCGCGATCTCGATAATCTACCTTTCGAGTTCACCGAGCCGGTACCTGCTGAACGGCATAAGCATCTTTTCAAAGACGAAAAGGTTCCTCGGACTGATAATTTTAATCCGAATAAGGTATGTATAACTTATCCAGCATTAGCACCCAGGATTTCTTCATTCCTGAATAAGCCCTGTCCGTTTTCTTAGGCGCATACTCATATTTTCACAGCCTTCCGGCGCAAACTGGATCTCCCAACTACCTCAGCAAAATAGCACCAATGTAGAGTACAACGACCACTTTTACCGGCAGCGTCTGCGCTCTCTCCAAGCCGTCGACGAGCTCGTAGATGGACTCATCCAACAGCTCGATGCACACGATATCCTCGACAACACGTACTTCGTGTACAGCAGCGACAACGGGTATCACATCGGGCAGCACCGACTACAACCGGGTAAGAGCTGCGGATACGAGGAGGACGTGAATGTGCCGCTCATTGTACGGGGGCCGGGCGTTGCGGCTAATTATACGGCTGAGGGGGTGGTGACTACGCATGCGGATCTCGCGCCGACGTTTTTTGAGTTGCTAGGGATTAAGCGAAGGGACGACTTCGACGGTGCGGCGATCCCGGTGACGAAGGAGGGGATTGAGGAGGTTAAAGGTAGGGGGGAGAGGAGGGAACATGCGGGTATTGAGTATTGGGGTATGGCAATGGGTGAGGGGATTTATAATCGTAAGTTAACGTGTTGCTCTTTATAAAAGATTGCTGTCACTTACTTAGAGAGCCATACATTTAAGACATCTGATCTAACTAACACTGCCTTCTCATCTAGGAAATCCCCGTGAGCACAACACGTACAAGGCTCTTCGCGTCTCAGGGCCAGGTTACAATTTATACTACTCTGTCTGGTGTAATAATGAGCACGAGTTGTACGATCTGAATGTAAGTGCCCGGTTCTTATGATTGCCATGTTGAAATAGTTATTGAGCTAACTATATATACATAGGTCGACCCAGGCCAACTCCATAACCTCCTCTCTTTGGAATCTACTAGTCCTTCAACAGCCACAGCGGCCGGATATCCAATAGACAAAGTTGCCGCACGCCTTGACGCCCTAGTATTAGTTCTCAAAACTTGCGCAGGCCCAACGTGCCAACGACCGTGGGCAGAATTGCACCCCGAGGGCGGCGTGCAGACGCTCGCAGACGCGCTAGAGTCGCACTACGACGAATTTTATGAGGCACATGCTCGTGCTGCTCATGTTGAGTATGCGTATTGCGCTAATGGGTTCTTACCTGATGCTGAGGGTCCGACGTGGGAAGGCTTGAGGGACGGGTTGAGGTGGGAGGATTGGGTATAATGTAATGCTTGAATTATGAAAAGTTAATACTGAGGGTATCCACTACCACCGGGGGGGGGGGGGGGGGGGGGGGTCTAGAGAGAGAGACAGAGAGAGCCACATTGAACTATTTACATACCTAGGTACGATGAAGGTATGTACTTGTTACACAAGTATTTGATGTAATCAATTAGTCAAATAGGATCTGGTCTTGCATTGGCAATAATGAACTGCTTCAAGACAGGTAGGTATTCAATTTGTAATCTCAAGACCCTGACTTATAAACAGAATTTTACATAGGTACCTTACGGTGAGAGCATTTAACAATACACGTGAATGAATAGGTTTATAATGATATTTTATTTACTTATCATTAAAGCTACCTAATTAATAATTTTTAGTTTCTGGGTGATGACCTTTAAATAGAACTCGCAAGATAAAACCATTGGTATCAATTATACGGGAAGACGGGAATATACATCAAGTAGGTAGCCGATTCGGAGTCTTAAATCCATTCATGTAGGTAACGACTAGGTAAACTCAAAATTAAAATAAGTCAATTACTTCTCACTACCTATAAATCGCAATGCGTTCTAAGTGAAATCGCAGCCACGTCAAGTCCCCCAGAATTTGGAACATCAGCCACTCCGTCCACATTTGGCATGAGGTAATGCGTCGGTACGTGCAGGGGAGGTGAGGAGGACCGTCTTGACGCAACGTCACGTCATTGGCCCAAAACCAAATTCAGGGACCCATCCTTCAATGGACATTGCATTTGACCAGATTGCACACAACCAATTTTCCCCATTGCGCAACAGAGGTAGCTACGCTGAATTGAAGCTCCTTCGCAATTTTCTTCCTCCGAGCTTCTTTCCTTTCTAATTCCTTCCAACAACATCATAACCCCTTTTCTTTTCTTCTTGATCATCCGGCTAATTCTACCTCTGTCTTTGCCCAACATGGTGACCCTCCGTTATTCAATCCTTGCCGCTCTGGCTCTTCGCGTCGTCTCTGTATTCGCTGCTGCTGATGCAGGTGCAGAGTCGGTAAGTTAACCAGCTTTCTAATCTATCAATTTATAAGAAAGCTAGCTGCTAACATGATTTATTTTGAAGCCACTTTCCGATAATGCCGGCAGTCCTCCCGAGGTCGAGTTGAAGGCCGAGGTTGTCGCTACCTTCCCCGAAGCCGATGACATCTTCGGAGTGAAGCTTGTTAATGGCCGCCCGACCAAAGCTGTGATCGATGTAACCAACAACGAAGATGAGCCCATCTTGATTGCTTTCCTTGGCGGTCAGCTCCTTAGCCCAAAGGCCCTGACTCCCGAAGACAACCCTACAGCCTCCGTTGTTCGTAACTTAACTACCGTCCGTTATGAAACCACTATCCCCGCCGGCGAGAAGCAGTCGCTTCCTTACTCCTTCGTACTTGATATGTTGCCTCAGGATGTGCGCCTACAGCTTGTTGCTGTCGTTAGCAACTCTGCCAACCAGATCTTCCAGGTTGGTGTTTACGACCAGACCGTCAGCATCGTCGAGGCGCCTACCAGCATTTTCGATCCTCAGATGTAAGTTTCTTTCCTTAACTTCTTTCTTCAATTGTTTCGCATCCTGCGTTCTACCTATAGCCGAAATCCACTAACACAATCACGTATAGTATCTTCCTATACGTCGTCCTTACCGCTGCCTTCGCCGGCACTAGCTACTTCGTGTACAAGACCTACATCGAGGCGCTCTTCCCCCAGGCCAAGCGCACTCCCAGCACCAAGCCCAGCAAGAAGGGCCGCACTCCTGCCCCCGTTGTCGAGAAGGAGCCCCTATCTGGAGGTGAAGGCTCTGCGACCGGTACCGACAAGGGTTACGACGAGAGCTGGATCCCTTCGGACCACCTGAACCGCCCTGCCGCGCGCCGTGTCAAGAGCGGTGCCAGCAGCAAGTCCAAGGCCAAGGTCTCTGAGTAGAACCCGACTGCATAGCGGACCCTTTCACTAAGGTTGTCTACTGCCTGTTAGCGGGCTTTATGTGGTACGCGTTAGGATAAATGAATAGGGTGGAGGTAACCCATTCGTCATCACAAGGGCTTGGAAATGGAAAAAAAAAAAAAATGCATTCATCGAGTTGCGGCACTGGGAAAAGGTTAAAAGTAGAGCAAAATATAGGGTGTACCTTTGGTGACTGTAATACGCCTATAGCGACGCTCGTTATGTATTGTATAGTCTTCACTTGCCTGCATGTACATGAATTGGATTGGCATTTAAGAGCCCTGAAATGCCGCTTACCTGATGTGTTATGCTATTGTATAAAGTCCGAGTTTGCGTAATGAGTTTTGCCTCTTTGACTTTTATGAGTAGGGGGTGTGTAATATTAATATATTTTTACTCGTGTCCAGCTGCATGTCCAAGTAGCTTCTAATGAGATAGATAATCTCATTGTAGAGCAAATGTAAAGCCACATATGTATATGATATAGTTATAATATGAATCCCTGGGATAACATGTGCTATAGAGTTGGTGTAGCTCAATGAACAGTTCATATTTCATACAGCCACCGGTTAGACCTGAATGGGGATTATAAATGACCCAGACTGTCCTGTGCCTTATAGCAGGATCAGTCTGATTGATACACTTGTTTACGTAGGTTACTTCCGATGACTACCTTATAACAGGTTATAAGGTAGGTAGGTGTTGCTATAACCACATGCTAACTGAGAAATAAATCTATCATCTCTACGGAAACACGAACGCTGAAATAAGGTTACATAGCATCAATGATTATTATATATATTCAGTAGATATCTTTCAAGTACATATACAATCTCTAGTAAAAATATGTAGCGACAATAAGGATAAACATGAAATCACAAACATACATGCATTCCAAAACGGGTTTATTTCATATAAACACATATCGTTGGCGGTCTCTAACTTATATATATGGACACGCCACGCCCGAGCGTAGACCCTCTGTCGTACAGCCTGCCAACTGTCAATGCCAACAATCAAGGTGTCCTAGGAAGCACGCGCTTCACCACATTAATGGTGTATCCTAATGGAAGGAATCCTGACTGCCCTCAAACCGTCTTGATCTGGGTTGGTACGTTTGCGGACCTTTTCCTACTCGTCGTCCACAAGCTTCTTCTCAGCCCAGGCCTTCTTAGCCGACTTTTCCAGTGTATCCATATCCCCGCTCATCTCGCACATGCTTCTAAAGTTTCCATCCTCATTTTGTAAAAGCTCGTACGGGTGGCCGTATTCCACAACGGCACCATGGTCTAGAACGAGCACCTTGTCGTAATCAACAATGGTAGCGAGACGATGCGCAATCGTAATAATAGTCGTCTTTAATTCGTGGATCGTCTCTTGGATCTTAGAATCCGTGGCGTAGTCGATTGACGCTGTGGCCTCGTCCATCACGAGCACCTTGGGATTCTTCAGCATGGCGCGAGCAAGACAGAGTAGTTGCCTCTGGCCCTGAGACAAATTCGTACCCGACTCCGCAACTGATGAAGACAAATCAAGGAAGATGTTCTTGTTCGCCGTTGTCGGAGAAGTTGGAGTAGTTGGAGCCTGGGAGTCCTGGGCCCCATCGTTTTGGGTCAGCGGCGGGAGAGCCTCGTTTGGCCCGACGAGTCGAACCTTTCTAAGAGCTGCAAAAATTTCCTCGTCCGTATAAAGGTCAAATGGATCAAGATTTGTTCGGATAGTGCCAGTAAAAAGAGTCGGGTCTTGGGGCACAATAGTGATAGCTTCTCGGAGGTCCTGTAGGCCAATCAAACTGATATCAATATCATCGATAAGTATTTTACCGCTCTCTGCTTCTAGAGCTCGGAAAATTGCTAGTGTGAGAGAACTCTTTCCAGCACCGGTACGTCCAACAATGCCGACCTTCTCGCGGGGGTTGATCTTAAAAGTAACGTTCTTTAATACTGGGTCAAGCTCCTTGCGGTACCTCGTGGAATATCCGATGAATTCCACTGCCCCGTGTGCGGGCCAGTTCTGGGGAGGACGGTTCTTTTCAATAATCAGATCGGCCTCTTGCTCTACATCGAGGTATTCCTTGACACGCTCGACGGAATTCATGTTCTGCTCGTTCGCGGCGTAAAGTCGTACGAGCCAAAGGATATTCTCGGAGAACCCAATAGCATAGCTTAAAGATACACCCGCGGAGCCAGCATCAATATTCCCTAAGCTGAGGATGACAAAGACACCGGCAAAGAACGACACAAAGTCACCCAAGAGGTCCGTTCGAATCGCCAGCCATCTATTAGCAGCCCAAAGGTAGATGAACGGACGAGACTGCGTGTTGATTTTAGTCAGGTTCTCCCGAATAAATCGTCGCTCATCGCCATAGGCACGAATGGTAGTGACACCTGACAGGGTCTCGCCGAATTGCTGGAAGAGTGGGCTCCGATTCACTGACTCGAGCCTTTTGAGATCCCTGGATGCTCGAAGATAAAACATACCGACTAAGATATACAGACCAGTAATGAATACACCTGCGACCAAGAATCCGGGAGTAATGGCTGCTATTAGCACCACAGTAATCAGAATAGCAACTGCGCAAGTCATAACACCAATGGCAACGGGTGCAACTTCTTGATCGATAGCCTCAAGATCCTTGCTAAACCTGTTCATCAGCTGGCCGAGCGGCGTTACGTCAAAGAACTTGAACTTCGCTCTAGACACGGCCGACATAAGTCTGTTGTGAAGCTTCCAAGATGCGGTAAGCGATCCGAAGAAAAGCCAGATATCGCGGATTAATGCTAGGATCGCGCCGGCGATACCAATCAATGCAAGTACACCGAGATAGTAATCAACGTTAACTTCCGGTACATCGCCGGGTGAGTAGCTTGCAGGAGTAAGGAAAGATGTATTCTTAACGAAACTGGTAGCAGATGCGAAATAAGCCGGCAATGGAAATGAACTGGAAGAATGTTGAGGAGACATGCTGGATTGTATTCCAGACAGGGATACAGTTCCGAGGCTTGCGGTGTACTGGTTGGCCCATTCTTTGATCCAAAGGTTCGAAGCGACACCGCTAAGCTGTTGACTGCCAAATACCACAATAGCTATGGCCCAGAACCACCACGTACCCATTGCTCGCAGATAGAGGCTGATGACTGACCACTTGACAGCACCCGTAGCCTTGGTCTCTTGCATGGCATTCCGCTGTGGCTTCTCTTGTCTGGTACTAGTTTTCGCGTTGGCTGTTCCATTCCCGCCATTGTCAATGAGAGTCTGGTCGCTCTCATCGCCGACACTCGATGGGACTCTAGAGGGGACACGTGAAACATCAGAAGATCCTGGGCGAGATTTATTTCGTATCTCTTCGCCGAGTTTTCCAGAAGCGATGACGTCTTTTGCTGTTCCTTGCGCATCTACTTTACCGTTGTCGAGTAGAATAACATACTCGGACTGGGGAGCGCATAGAGTTGTATTGTGGGTAACGAGAATGCAGGTACGGTCCTTCATCAGCTCGCCTTTAATACATTTGGTAAAGATCCATTTGGCGGTATGCGAGTCAACGGCACTTAAGCAATCATCGAGGAGGATATGTCGGGAATTTGAATATACTGCACGGGCGAGAGATATGCGTTGTTTTTGACCACCAGAGAGCGTGATGCCATTTTCTCCAACCAAGGTCTCGTCACCGTTATCTAAGATTTCGAGATCTCGCTCCAGGGCACAGGCTACCAAGACATCTTTGTACCTTTTCTCGTCATACGGGGCTGAAAACAGGATATTCTCTTTGATATTCGCATTTACTAGCCAAGCGGTCTGGGCAACATAAGCGCAAGTTTCAGTTAAGCCCGTCGCGGGGTCCGGTCGAACGTCCTCACGACTACGGCCACCGGGAAGATAAATATTTCCCTCTGTCAGAGTCATTTCACCGAGTAAGGCCATGAGCATTGAGGTCTTCCCAGATCCCGTAGGGCCGGCAATGATATTGAGCTTGCCGATTCTGAAATCGATATCAAGATCGAGAAGTCGGAATGCCATCGAGCCATCTGACGCAACTGCGTCTTTGCCACCCCAGATAAATGTTGCGTTTCTGAAGCCAATGACTTTGTTGCCGTTCTCGTCTACGTTGTCTGGCCCTAGCTGCCTATATTTGTCTGTCTCATCTTCGTTTAAAAACTCGTCGACTCGATCAACTGAAACCTTTGCCTCTTGAACATGAGCAATCATGTCTCCAAGCTGGTCTAGAGGCACTCTTAGGAGCATAAAGAGAGAGATTGCGGTAAATGCGATGGAAGGATACAGGGGCTTTCGTTCGACTTTTGTGTAGACTAGAAAGGAGAAAAACGTAATGAGAACGGGCACAGTATTCCAGATAGCAACAGCAAGTGCCCAAATCATGTAACGGTTCCGCAAGGCTCGCAGCTCATTTCGTCGCTTCTCGTCGACAACGTCACTAAACCGCTTTTCCCAAGCAAAATATTTGATGATCCGAATATTTTGGAGGATTTCGTTGGTGGTGTGTATTCGCTTATCCGTCGCAGCCATAATCTTACGCTGAGTCAAGTTGAAACCTTTGGCAAGCAGGATATTAATTGGCAAGAGGAAGACCATAACAACAAGACCGGGAATTGCACTCAAACCCATGACCTGGTAAAGAAGAGCAACAGATACGATAAGCTGCGAGGGAGCAGAGGCCAGTAAAAAGTGAAGGTAGGAAGTGCACTCGGAAATCTTGAAACTGTCGACTGACATGAGATTGATGATGGTTCCCAGATTTGCTTGTTCGTCTGCGTCCTTAGTTCCGTCTTTCTTAGAGACATCACCATTCTGAGCATTGCTATTTTTATCTGCCTTCTTCTTTAGTCTTAAGAATTGCTTTAGTCTCTCCAGCTTCGTCTCTTTAGCACCATTCGCATCATTACCACCGAGAACGGCATCTTTGCCGCTTGCCGCCTTGCGCCGAAGGGCTTTAGCATAGATCTCCCCGATAATGATAGCGCGGATCCGGATGCAAATCTTTCGGCCAATCCACAAGGCCTGATTATCAGCGATGGAGCGGATGAGGTCTGATAGGGGTAGTAAAATAACGTAAAGCCAAAGAACATTTCTTGGGGCAATCGTCGGTAGTTCCACGTACTCAAGGATGGCTTTGAGAAGAAGAGTCGGAGCAAATGTGAGAATACCACCTAGCGTGGCCCAGACGCACTGAAGAATTACCAGGCCCTTGAAATACCTGAGTAAGTGTAGGGCGAGAGATGTCGTCTTCTTAACTTGGCGATAATTGGCGAGTACCGTAGCGGCCTTATCGCGCGGCAAGAGGTTCCACACGTGTTTAATCTCGAGAGGTTCCTTGTAACCTTGCCATAGCATAGAGTCGATCCAAGAAAAGGTCACCAGGGACAATACAGAAGCTAGAGGTTCGCGAGACGGCTCGAGGTTCCCTTCCCATTCCATGACAACTGTCTTATTGCCCTTCCTAGTGTTCAAAGCTATCCCAAATAGTAGAGTTATTAGGCAAAACTCGATAACAATTAGGACCTGCACAAGTTTAGAGCTGGCATGAATTAGGACGGAACGGAATATAACAATAGTAAAGAGCCATTGGAATCCGTATATAAAAGCGGTATGATTCCATAGTCGCGGGACTCGCCATTTGGTGTTTCTGAGAAATAATCGAAGCGTCGCAAGAACCAAGACATACACCCAAGTGACCAAGCCCATGATAGCAGCCAACTGCCCATGGCCACTAAAAGAATTAGTGATGAGGGCGATAACATTGATAGCTACCAGTCCGCAAATTGCGACCTCTTCGACAATTACTAATAGGTCTTGAGCGGGGGGAGTATCGGCTTGTACAATAGAGCCTTTAGAGGTAGTCTTAACCAGGGCAAGACGCCCACCGCCATTTGTATTAATAGCCAATCCTTCATCTTCATCGGTGCTTAGGCAGTCCTCCTCTTCCGGAGGCACCTCGGTGTGGTCTTGATGATCGGGTATCTGGTCGTAACCGTGTCTTCGTTTTAACCTGACGTTGCGGTGGATAGTCTGTATTAGGAGGTGAAGGAGAGAGAGAGATATTAGTATAAGCGGGAAGAGAATCTGAAGATAGCTTTTAAGCCGTTAGTAGGCGCAATACACATCAAACTTGGAAACGAGCACAAAGGAATACTAACTCGGATTGAAAACATGTCGTGAAGTCATCAGTCCGCCATATCGGCCATGTACACGAGGCAAAGCTCATGTTTCCTCTGCGTCTCCCCGGCCCCACTCAAGAAAGTGGTAGATAACTTTGACGATATCACCAGATTGATATGGTAGTATTATCGGTTCCTATAATCAATTGACTTCTTATCGAAGAGAATGGTCAACACAGCTACTCGCAACGGTACGTAACTATGGTTTTTGTCGCGAACGGGAAGAAATGAAGAGGTAAGAAGATGATGGCTGCGTGCGAATCGGGAAACTTTTTGGGGGGTGGAGCGGGAGATAGCATAAAAAAGTCCAGAAGATGCTGCGATTGACGGATGATAAAATGTACAGGAGCTAGTTTAACACTAGAGCTAATGTAGCTTTTTATATTAGTGGAGCCGAGTGCGCTTGCTAATACCCGAACGCAACCTCTAAACATATATAATACAGTATGTATCCGTCAGGTATTTAGTGAGTATAGTTCTCCGCATATGGGGAATTGCAGGTGATTATTCACTTGCGCGGTGCATTCCGGTACATATATGCAGTGACGATAGTTGGCCTGGGGAAGGCAGATACACTATGTAGATGTAGGTATGTATACAAGATCTAACTTCTTGATCCGAAGAGATATTACTGACTTTCGGTGAGTTGGACTGGTTCGTTCCTGATAACGGACCTAACTAAACCAAGCTTAGAATCCTTAACTCTCGGCTAGCACGCGAACCAGATCCACTATCCCACCTTAAACACGTTCCGAATGCAGTTGCCTTCGCAGTATACAGTTAGCACCTTATTACATTATGTCGATGCAAGTACCTACCTTAGATACCTTAGGTAAGGTACGTTACACGATTGTACTGACATTTTATACCCATTACAGTATACCGGTACATGCATATAGGTAAGTAGGTAATCACGCTTCTATTCGCTTGTCTTGGAAACCGTAGATCATATTAAAAGTAAGTCATTAAAACTTCCGAGCAGTGATATGTATAAAAGATTCCCGATACTACATACCTATGCTCAATATAATTTACACATGCCCTGTAAGTATATATTCAAGCTTGTCACATGTCTTTATGTTTGTGGTACCCACCACCTGATCTCGAACGTTTCGCTGCCGGAAATGATATCATTCTTTACAATTTGCCCAGGCGTAAATACTAGAGGTGTGCTGACTCAAGTTACGAATGGCTAGTTATCTCATTCGTGTAACGTTGAACATAAATCTATGTCGACCAGATGATCTGCGACCTATCTCGATCTATGTTATTTCTTATATTAGTTATTGGCCTTAACTGGCCCAAATATTTACCAAATACCTCAGGCACCTAGGTTAAGCAGGGAGACATGTAGCAAATCATAAAATACTAATACCCCAGACACTTATTCTTTAATGTGGTTTAGTCAGTTTCAACTACATACTTAAACGGGGAAGTAAAATCTTTCTACTTGGGTACCTATGTCATAATATACACTTTGTCGCAATGACAAACTTATTAATGTTCTTAATGACTCAAAAAATGAACAGGGGTATTAGGGAGTTGGGGAAGCAAATAACGTTTGAACCTGCCGCATCAGATATGCAGGTTAAGTGGGGGGTGTCAGTCGACCTCACCGGTTCCGTTCCGCGTTTAAAATTTATGCGGGGTCAATGAAGTCCAGGTCCTACCTTACTGCCTGCATGCATGAGACTAAACAATCGACGCTTTTGATTGGCCTTATTTGTCAAATTATGTCGATTATATGTTGATTAAAGGTTGGAGATAACTTATAGCACCTGAGGACTTATTATATTCCAGTATAGTTATTAGATATGTGACACCAACTTTACACATGACTGCCTATCTCGGTTTGAGATTTGAAACTCCTCTGGCATGATTCGCTATGTTGTATGCAAGTTCGAGGCCTTTGTATACATATATCTCTAACATATCTAACATATAGATGTATCGCAATAGGTGATCCAATAAGATAGGTACCTAGGTATTTATGCCGAAGGTCGGAAACAAGAGATAAAGAAAAAATCATATATCTACGTCCGCACTCTTTACCACCACTACCCCGACATACTTATGTTTGACGGATACTCACCTATCTTTTTCACACCATTATCTAGACCGGCTGCATGATACGGAGTTCCAGCGTCATCAGACCCTACCTTATGTTTAAGCCGGTCAATACATATGTTAATACCTCTCACTTTGGTTGAAGAACGACCCTTAGGTACGGATTATTGATACTACCAGTCTTAGTGGTTAAACACATAAAATGTTAATAATATCAGCAATTATTGTCAACTAGGCACTTTACTATTGATAATCTCAACATGGACTCTGGTTTCTACCCAGTAATATGAGAAGGTTAGAGCCTTTAAACGTAAAAGGAAATTTGTGATAAGCTAGACCAGTAATCTTCGTCACCATCTCATCGTCCATTGTATTAGAGATACTCAAAGGATGTTTATGATGCTCTCGTAAGCACGAAGTAAAGCGGGATGCGACTCTTATAAATTAGGTAGATACTTCATTTTGTATTTACACCCCCTAAGCACCAATGCTGTCTTTCGACGTACGAGAATCGCGTATAATTCCCTAATAAATTATAAATATAATTGGTTCGAGTAATGTACTAGATACTTAGCGTATGTACTGCTATGATTGGATATAGCGTATAGTACACCTTTATTATAGAGAAACACTCAATACCTATTTTAATAAGTATTCTTTAGCGAGATAGTTTTCTGGAAGATGGATATTATAGGGAAGAATTAGATAGCACTCTCACCGGGGAGTAGAAGCTCTACTACGATGGCTAAGCTTAAATGAGTTATTGACTGTAGTGGGTTTCTTTTCAGTATTGTTACGAGGTTTGGTGTTAATTAATACACAAATGCGGATATCTAAAAGTTTAATATAATTTAAATTTATTAAACAGTCCTTCAATGCTTCAGTTCCCTTGGCTATCTCCTCATAAATAAATTGTCCATTTGCAACTCATTAAAAGAGGTAGGTAATTACTTAATATAAGTACGGCTGTGTTAGAACAAGCCCCTTAAACCGCCACCAACCCAGTCTCTCTCACAAAACCCATCCCTTAAGAAGACCACACCTGTATCTTTTCTACACTCCTATCTCTACCTTACAATCAAGTTACTGTAAAAATGAGTTTCGGTTTTGGTGTGACTTCCTTGCGATCATTAAGCTAGCTAGCAAAGCCCGAAAAGAATTTGCGGTAGCTCCGAGTTAATTTCATGAGATTTCGGTTGAGTTAGTTCCCGGAATATTAGGCGCCGATGATGAAAAGGCATCCGATTATTCGTAGGATTGGAAGCCTCACAATCATACTTCAAGATGTTGACGATGACCTATCAAACCACAAGCTCAGCGACGAGCAGAAACGCAAGCTTAATGATATTACAAGTAGCTTTCAACACGTCCTGGACGATATCGAAAAAGCAATGTCAAAATATAATAAATTGGGATCAAACCAACATGGTGTTGACAGCAAAAGGGCATGGGAACGGTTTACGTGGGATGCTGGGGAAATTCGCGACTTTTGAAACCGAATCACTTCGAATATTCAATTGCCGGACTCATTTCAACAGCAATGCTCCAGTCGTACTATCAATAAGCTGACAAGAAGCCAAGCTAATTAGAAACGCCGTGTAATCCTTGACTGACTTATACTAACAAACTATGCTGCTCAGCAAGCAGATTTTATCACCCTAAAACAGCCAGACACGGGTACATGATTTCTTGACTCGCTAGAGTATCGATCATAGGTAGATACGGAGAATCAAACACTGTTCGATCCAAGATGATAATAGGGTTGACAGTGCATATATATACTGTAAATTTCGACGATAGTTTGAATAGACAACCACAAACATAACCCTAAGTTTACTCCAGCAGCTTGCGCAAAGGAAATCATCTCTCCCAGATGCAGCAAAGGACCTCTATAAGTTTTATGAACGGGATAGGACGCGGCCATGAAATGATGAGGTCTTGGGAGCTTTGGTAACAGTCGTCTCTTCTTACTCTAGAGTATTTGTTAGCGATAATACACTCGATGAGTACCAGGTGTCCGGTAGTACTCGACCTAAACTTATCTCAAATGTCTTTAATATCGAACACAAGCACGAGACGAACTTCCTAGCTACATCAAGGTTCACTCCCGATATCACAGCAACATTTAAAGACCATGCGACGTTGGAAGACGACACAAGCAAGGCAAAACAGTTACCGCCCTTGGTTACTAGTAGACTAGGACTAAAAGACGAAATTATAGATACTATTTCAGAAGCAGTCGATGGAATATAGGTGTACTTCGAATAGCATTGGATAAGATAGGTACTGATGGTTACTTAGGTTCTTATTGGCACAACTATACCTTGGATCTCTTCGCTCGAAGACAACTTCCAAGAAGCTTATGACCGCGCTATAGTATTTTCAGAAGCAAGGCGGACAGTAAATGGGAGGAAATAGGATAGAAATTCTTAATAGTACCTATAAGAAGGTGATGGAAAGAATAAATGGGCAAGAAGAGGGTTTCAAGGATCTCACGACCCGGGTTCTATCATGGATCACCTGTGCTAAATGGCCATTGACTACTTTCGACATCTAACATGCGCTTGTCGCAGAAGTTGGTAACTGAGAAATTGACAAAGACAATATCCCAGGGATTCAATTAGTTCTCTCGATATGTGCTGGGCTAGCCATTATCAATGAAAGGGGAAATACTATTCGGTTGGCTCACTATATAGCGCAAGGATACTTTAAAAGAACACAAGACTAATGGCTCCCAGAAACGCAACTCTTTATAACAAAAGCCTGCGTTGCTTATCCTTTTTTAATGTTTTACAAGTGGTATTGTCGGTTGACAAGGTATGTGGTTGGTGGTGTACACTCAAATAAGGAAAGTAAATAAAGACAAGTAAACACTGAAATGAGGCTATCGTGGTGTAATTGGTAAGATTGTGTGTATGTGGGTTACCCGAAAAGATTGGGGTTTTAGGCTTAGTCCTACACACGTGATAGCACGTGACTATTCCTCTCAACAGGTATTGCTCAAAGGGGTTACTAAATATGATATGGTCACGTGATTATAGTTATTTTCTATTTATTATTAAGCATCTTCCCGTCATCTTCACGTAATACGGTCACGGCAATGCTTACCTGTCCGGTCCGCCCTACCGTAATCAGCTCATCCGAAAGTGGAGACCTGGCGGTAGCATCCACTTCGGCTCCGAGGACCGGGAGTTGTAAGCACTAATAAAAAAACTGATAGAAGATCCCGGCGATGATCCGCCAATCTTATAAAAAAAACATCTACGATACCTTCATCAATATAGATCTGGAAGAATACTTGAATGGGTTGGACGTGGAGAGGGTTGTGGTTTACGGCTGTATGACGGGGCTGATTATCACGGCCCAAAATACGATCCCTCTCTTTAGAGCCCAGGAGAGCCACGTGACTCAATAGCATGAATAGCATTCCAAGAATAATATTCAATCGACTCGAAGAAGTTAGTATGAAGGATAGAATGAATATAAGAAGGGAGGATCTCCTTACGTATCTAGTCACTCATTCTACAGTTATTAATCCAAGCCTAGAATTTGGCACATACTCGGGGGAAAGACTCCAAGCCTTCTTGAGGAACATTTCAGTGCTACTTATTTACTACATTGACCCATATTATTACTGTTTACCTAAAATCAAGACACCATAAATACTATACTTCAACGTACGTAGGTAAGTATAAGTTCATCACACCGATTCACAACGCCTGCAGCAGCGCAAACGAGACTCCAACACGAAGCAGGACTGATGTGGTTTGCTTTTACTTTAGCATATGTTGCGAAAAGAGAGACAATTCATAGAATCTAGTATAAAGCATCTAGGTAGCTTTGCATACTCCAACAACCATCACCGTAGTTCTGCATGTCGTTTGGTGATCTTAAGGGGTACGGCACAAGACTTAGGTACATCTAGTGGCATTAGACAAGTATAAAATAGGAACTTTACCTGTTAGTACTGCAAGTTCATATAGGAGTCAACGATTTTATGATTACATTTATCAATGAGCTTATGTAATAGTACGTTGTGACACTGCCTGAGATCAATTGTTCATTACATTCGATCAACGGGCAGGCCAGGGGAAAGAACGATCCTAAGTATTCCAATTAGTTAAGAATTTCACTACAAGTTACAACGGACTATACCTGATATTTCAGAGGCATGGGAACTTCTATGAGGGTTTGGAAAACGTACCTAGGAGATAAACGAGGACCGAAGGTCAATTTTAACAGTTGCTCATACGTATGATATCTATCACGTATTGTAGGTGTTCAGTCATGTGGTGCCAAGATCGTGTGTACCTAATATATAGTAGGTTATATTAAAAGGAATATAAGGAGCGAGTGTAACGAGCTTGAGTAAATCGCCTTATATAGGCGCTCCTCACAACATGACAATATCGTTAGTAAATTTTTCATGATACAAGCTTAATATCTGGTTCTCTCTACTAAGCGTAGTTCGTCTCTGCTCAGGCCATTATTATTGCCAACGTAGGGTGTCCAAGCTTGTCCACTTATCCCATGTTGAGCAACATGCGGGAGAGGCACCTCGTATAGCAGATGGCGTAGCTAATTAATTCGCTGTTTACCCTCCGGCTCAACGCATTCATTATATCGATATCTACTTTTTTGTCGAGGTAAACGGAATTATTTCATAAAGTTTTGCCAATACTTGCTAGTATCTCACGTACTTGAATCTAATGTTGGAGTGGTGGCTTCCTCATAGTATTCCACCTTCATAGTTATCACGAGGTGGAACTGAACAGCATGGAAACAACTTCGTTATTCCGCAAGGAACTCTACATTACCTAAGAGGCCCTATGTCTATGCATACTAAACCTGTTCATTTTGACAATAGTGCGGCATTGGAACGAGTGGCTGCATATTATTTAGCCATTCGCTCTATATAGGATGCCTGCGTTTTCCGAACCCTCGTCCACATACTCTCGGGACCAGGCTATAAGAAGAATCGGAGAAATTATATACGGATATAGTATACCGTCGAATGAATCTATTGCTCGCCGACTCTCGATATTCCTCATACATATGCAATGCATCAGCGCCTTGCTATTAGTTAGTCAGTGCCTGCAACGCCTAATGCAAGTAGCTAGCTAAGATTTCTTTTTCAAAACAAGATTATGACCGGCGTCCATGAAGTTCCTCAAGCGTCATACTACATTTCCTTCTGCCCCTCCGAATATAGTTAATGCGTTGGCATATAACGTATTATGTAGGCACCCGGAATTGGCTTTTCTAAAACATTTTATCAATCCAACCATAATGCTTACCCAATATAAAGATTGGCAGCCCGTAGATATAGCAAAACTAGGATTTGAGATCTTTTAGTGCCGCATAATTGTATTACAACGGCGGCTTGTAAAGGCGGCGGGAGGGGGACTGCTATTCAGCGATAGTACTCGCTAGAATGTGCGTATAAAAACTCCAATCGGATGATATTGTTATGATAAAACGTTGTAACACATGTACCTTGGTGGTATGGGTGCGTCGTGTGGCGTCGTCAAATGCAGCTGAAAATGATAACATATCTTTAATCAGGTTACGGGCTTTATCATATCCGGAACTAGTATTCCTTGCCGCCTCAATTCTGATATGCATGCACTTTCTTATTAGTAAAGATTATCTAGTATCCGTATGTTTGCTGAAATATTGATCAGATAGTTTTACGCAGTGTGCCGTATGCACTTGTTTATGCATAAAGCCAAGAGTCGAATTACACTCATGTCGTAGGTGGCTGAGGAAGGGAAGGGAGTAACAACATCACGTTGTTGGCCCATGTCATTAAAGTACCTACATTAGCTCTACGAGTTAGGAGTAAACTCATTCTCATACTAGGATTGTATGCTAAGTATTGTACTTCATATACTCAACTGGGGTATTGTAAAGCCACTTGGCCTTTCCCATCATATATTTCAAAATTTCTATGGAGTTTCATAAGGTGAAGGTAGTGAGGCGATGCTATAACTTGTTTTGAGTCTAGTAACGTCGTAATAATGAGGACTCATTAAAATGTGATCACGCGTGTGCCGTACTATGTAGAGGCATATTCTTCCCCACATCTTCATTATGTGTTAGAATTCATTTATCTGCTGAAATCATCGCGGCATGAGCTCGAAGTAGTAGAAGAACGTTGAAATCCCAAGGATACACAGTGTAACCGTAAGGGCTAGATCGCCAGCCACCAAGCATACCCCGTACATCGAACGAATGAATCCCCGGAAACCTTGAACATGGCAGATCAAACCCGGCCATTTCAATACCCTATTAACAAGGTACGTGTTTACATAAATTGCAAATCTCAGCTTGACTTACTCACTATGTAAGTCTCGACCGGAGCTTGTTTCCGTTCGTGTGCTACTGCCGATACGAAAATGCTCAAGCGGCAAGCTAGGCTTTAGTCTCAATCTAGATTAATGCATGCTAACCATCGTGGCGATGTCGCAAATTTGCTTTTCTGATATTATTTAGTAGAGTAGACTCACAAGTGCCGGATTACTTGGTGGTCCTCCGGTGTGAGGTCCTAAGAATGCATCGTCGATCCCCGATAAATTACTTGTTGCTCTTTTAGCAAGCTATGATGTGCAGCGTTCGGCTTCACGTTGGTTGGTTTCATTTTTTGGCGACACCTAATCACTGTTACCCCTCTCTATTTCGCGATTGTCTAGTGTTGACCGGGACTTTGGAGTGAGCATCAGCATTGTCAATGCCAACAGAAACTTATAAATATTCTCTAAGTTCCATTCTCGAAGTGAGCACCTATCCTAACCCGCTATCAAAAAGAATGAGTTAATATCATACTATCTCGAAAGATATATTCCTTTATTACATTGGATTTTCACATCCCATCACCTCACCCTTCTTCCCAATCATGACTACCCCCAAATACGACCCACTCGTTCAGGACTTGGTGAACTTTGTCTATCGTACAGAAGATAGAAATCAAAGTTTTTCTCAAGCTGTCAAGAGTGCTACGGACCCGAAGAATGGGGGAGACGGAGAGATGTCCCAGGAAAATATCAGTACATTGGAGGATTATTTTCGATTCTGTGACGACCTCTTGAAATGGGTTCCGGCAGTGGACACGACAGTGGACACGACAGACGACGCCCTCCTCCGGAAATTATTGGTTTTCTACTGGGTGTTTAATCAACCCAGCGTTGCGGACTACCAAACCAGTATTAAGCCCGAAAATGCTGGAAGCGATCCCAAGTGGCTCTCATATTGGCAGGTAGTCTACGCCCGGGCACTCGGATCCTTCTTGAGTACCAAAGAATCCACTTCTAAGATTTGGACTTTCTACGAGAACCCTCTTTATAATCAAGAAAGTAAGCTGTGGCAGGACCCGCCAGAGCCAAATAACGAGTGGGCGTCGTTCAATCAGTTCTTCTCCCGGAAATGGAAGGACATCGACATTGCGCGGCCACTAGACCAGAAGGAAAACGTCATTGTCAGCGCTGCAGACTCCAAGTTTGGCGAGGACTTGCCAGTGGAGGATGGAACTGTCACGATCAAAGGATTTTACTGGACAATTAAAAAACTGGTACAGGGATCGGTAGATTTCAATGTTGTATCTTTCATGCATGCCTTCCTCGGTCCTACTGACTATCACCGGCAGCATGCACCAGTCAGTGGGAGAGTTGTGGAGGCCAAGGTGATCCAAGAGCTTGTCTATCTTCAGGTCACTGATGACCCAAATCATACTGGTTTAGCCCCTGATCGTGGTCTTTTAGTTAAAAAGCCATTCCTAGGTAAAAAACGCCCGGGAGACCTTACTGCAGGCCGTGGACACGACTTCTATGATATTACTGCGCCGGATGAACCCGGCTACCAGTGGTGCCAGACTCGCGGGGTGATTGTGATTGAGACGGAGAATCACGGCAAGGTTGCTGTGCTGCCAATTGGCATGGCCCAGGTTTCGTCGGTTGTTCTGACGGTGAAGGAAAACGATGTAGTTGAAAAAGGCCAGGAGATATCTTATTTCCAGTTTGGAGGGTCGGATATCGTTCTGATCTTTGAAAAGCCCGTCCACTATTCCGTGAAGGGGGGAGATAAATGTAATGTGAGGAGCAAAATTGCCACTTTTCTGTGAGGATCCTTCGTCATAGCTCAACAATTGTCTATTCTATGTCCACTAGGGATTGACACGGTTTCTTGGGACTCCATGGATCCAGAGGAAGTCGACCTTCCTAACAACAGTATATTACTAGGTATCTACCTCAGTAGACATGCTCATTACATCTCATGGAGTGTAGGGATTGAATCAGGGATGGCATCAGGGCTGGCCGCAGGGTTAGCATTCAGGTCATGGTCATACGCTCTTTTAAGAGCTCGTTAGAGCCCTCTCCTCTAGCTAGACAATCATTACAATACAGCACTCATTTGAATAATAGTCCTGACTGATATCCCGGGTGTGCTATAGCGACTCTACTAATCTTAGGTGTTGTTTAGCAACGCTACTTACAAGCCTATACTAACCGTAACCCTAAGTTTAGACAGTTACCAACTAACTAACCAGTCTAAATCATAATTATGTTACCTAAAATACTCGAGATATTATTAGATGTGATATTGTTTGGCAATAAGGGTAAAATCCCGATTTCAGCATGAGAACTGACCTGTAATCGCAAGATCCTATAAAGGGGGGCCTATTGCTTATATCCCTGACGATCTGGTTGTGGTTTAAGGTTATTAAAGCGTTCCTTGAGCCTTGTGTGCTAGGGTTAGTAGCACTGACGTTGAAATAAGATAGATTCATTCCGCCTTAGCCAACAGTGCTGGTTTATGTACTATGTAAGACGTGGTGCCCCCGCAAACTTGGCATCCTTCTTAATCCCTGTCGAAATAACGTAAGTGTCTGACATGAAAGAAATTGTGTAATGGCTTAAATATCTAATTATCATTGCTTAATATATGCGACTTGATAGACGGCCTCCGTTAAAACCGGTTCTTTAGTCTACTTTGAACTATAAGCCCTTCAAGGTTAGTATCTTTTAATTATTTAATGGATATGGGCCAATCGAAAATAACAAGCATATAAGCCTGTTAATCGTTTGTTAATAGACCTTTCTTAGTCACCCACCCCAGGTAAGTAAGGTTACGCCTCGCTGTGAAATTGTTTGTTTCGTTGTAACTACCCTTTCAACCACACACCACCTTTTGACCAATCCTATAAGATCGGCTGCCTTACCGGTTGCATTATCACCTGCATCACCCACAATACTAGCTACAACGCTTTCGGAATTCGAGGATTAGTATATAAAAAGGCTATATTATTAGCATTGATAAGAGAAAACTTATACGTAGTTGTAGTTGTGGCTTCTAAATATGGTGTTGCGGTGCCGTATTGCTTAATGAATTGATAATATTTACGTTGGACGTTAAGGCCTAGTATGCAAAAAAGGCCGGAGAGTTAGGAAAGGTAAGGTATTAGCCCTAAATTATAAAAATAGAAGCTATATTGTACGTTGTTGTTAGATATTATTAAATTATTGTAAACATAGAGGTATACTTTGCTCAACTTTTAAAAAGGTTATTATTATGTCAGGTTATTTTACATGGGAAAATTTGTCAAATCAATAATAACCGTTCGTAAACTCAATGTATACCCTTCGTAAATTTAAAGTAAAGCTATTGTTTTATAATAATAGTTTACATGGACATGCCCGGGATTTCAGTTAACCCTATAAGGTTGTTAGCTTAGCCAATAACTTTGGGAAATTATATAAGAGGTAGATAGATGACATGGCTTACATCCGTCAACATCCTCTTCGACAACGCGCGGCTTGGTACACTTCATTGCTTCCTCTGAAGACTGGGTCTTTAACTGGTTGCAGACGGCGCCATTACATCGGGAATCCATGGCACGTTGGAGAGAATCATCTTTCCAGCCGAAAACGTAGTCTCCGTGTTGCGAATATCCATCCCTACAAGTTTATTATTAGAATAATTTACCCAACGAGAGTGTTGCTGGAGACTAACTTGTCATTCGTGCTCCATACGAATGGCTGCGAGCCATCCTCTGGCCATATACTCTTGTCGTTAAAGGGTCGGGTCTGTGACGGATACGATGTCAGCAAATGGGTCTTATACAGCATCCATGATAGGGTTGAGCTGAGCGCATAACTCAGGCACTCCAATATAGAACGAAACTCCCCAGCTGAAGTACGATTCTTGACGGTATATGAGAGAATATATTAATAACACTTACGTCCCACATGACTTCAAACATCACTTGGGGTATCTTGATAGGGTGGCTATCAGGGCAAGTGCCAGATGCACCAACGCCGACATCACCGGATCCCGGGCTGGGATAGGCAACATGACTCTTATGGTCTGGGCTATCCAGGTTCTTCCCATCCCAACAGGTCGGGAAGGTGATAACCGAGCGTATACCACCGGCACAGAACTCTGTGGGCAATTCCTGGCTGTCCGGAGCTCCGCAGTTTACGTTGCTGTTGTCTCCTGTCGCCGGCATACAGCGGTGGCACACCTTGCGTGCCTCGCCTGGGGAACGCAATGCGGCGTCTCCAACAAGCATACGGAAGCCGGGCTTAAAAGCGGTAACCTTTTCCTTCGTGTTAGTCGACGGGATATAATAAATCGTAATACCGCCGTCGGCTCGGAGGCCTTCACTGGCAAATTGAGGAACCCGCTTGTACGTTCCGTTGCGGGCTTTGAAAAACAGAACCGCCGTCCAGTAGTTGGAAAAGTCTTCCGAGAAAGTACAGCTAGTGCACGTAGATGATGAGGGCAGATCGTGCGCTATCGGCTCCATGGTAGCGTTAAAAGAGTTACCTCCGACGATCTGGTGAAGATGCGGTGACGGAATAGAACCGGGAGAAACTAAAGGATCCAAACGATCGACAACGAGCTGCGAGCAACTGAAGCGCAGCATCTCCAACATTTGGCCGGAGCCATGCTCGACGAGGAGTGCAAGAGCGAGGGCTTTCCACTGCATCTTGGGCGAAATGGTTATTGCTGTCTACGAGGATCGAAAGTTTGCAGTAGAAAGGTGCTGATCTATTGCGTGTTATCCTGGGATATAACTCCTAAATACATGGTGCTGTAACTACTTCTTCCATATGCCGCTGCGTGCTATCCTGGTTGTTTAATCTGGAATTGCTTCTATATTAATAGATTTAGGCGGTGGCGGATACTACGGTGTTCCACGAATCACATACGACACTCTAATCCCAGGCTCATCAAAACTCCTATCTTACCAATTACAGTCCATTAATATTAAGCTTTTCTATAAATTCGCATATGCTGTAAGCAGTTCGGTATGTTCTGCGTGGCTGGCTCGGCAATTCCAAATCAAACTGCAGATCCAGGTGTCAATGTGTCTGTTAGTAAACTTCCCGTACTTACCCCCTGCTGCATCTTCAAATAACAATGTTTATAAATATGGAGTATGAGCCCAATGGTATTAGCCAGATCTCCGATGGATGAGTTGACCTCGGTCCTACCCGGAAGCACTAAGCTCTCGTGGTATACGAATATTCGACAGTAGCCGCCCATATATTTTGACAAGGGCTATCCGGTTACCCGGGTCTTAAGAGGCTCGGTAGTTTCTTGGTTAGTCAATGATACACTCAGTGAGGCACTGACAGTGATAGTGCGATTGTTTCAATTTATCATCTAGCTTATAAGTATTCGAGAGTACTCGTAATTGTGAGAGGGGGAAATAACTAGTTATTCACAACTATATCCCTTTCATAGTACACTCGTGTCAGCTTGTGCTTCAAGGTATAATTAACATTTCTCATATAATTATCAATGACGATACTTAGGTAGTCTATGGATTTCCATTATACTTGAGATATTAGAGGTCACCAGAAGAAGTCCGAAACCCGCCTGGCCAGACAGATAATCACTCTAATATCTAGGGTGCAGAGGTAGGTGATGAGGGTCCCTTACAATAATACCTACACTATATGTACTCCTATAAAGACATCAATATAGATAATACAAAATTGACTATCTTTACGATAAATCGCGTATGCAAATTGAAAGGTGCTACGGGAATCATGAAAGTTGCATAGAGAGAATATAAAATAATAGTTTGCATTAATTAAGGGATGGTGCATTTATAGATGACTTGAGTATCCATGACTTTACACGTGAGGAAGCCCTACCTACGCTATAAGAATTGCTCCTGCTCTCATCTTCTTCGTCATCTTCATCATCAGAATTTAGGATTTCAAACCACTCACTTTCCCAAATATCCTTCTCATGTGATGCATATCCATCAATTCGTAGCCAGCCGAAGATATTACGAGTTGCGTTTTCTGATATAACCTCATTTTCACGATCCAATTTTGTGTAGTCAACATCAACGTGCCTTGTATCCTCATAGTTCCGTGAGAACAATCGACTTGACGACGTGTATGTACTAATAATACTCATAGGTTGACATGGTACTTCGTTAGTGGTACAATCCCAGAAAAAGCCATTGTATTGAAGCCCATGACCTTTGCATTCGGCATGGATTCGTACTTCTAAATCAGTATCCTCAAGCAGAGTGTTCCCAAACGGCTTCCATTGACAGAGAGGGACCCTGCTATGAAACCCAGACTGAGAAAGGAAGAGCAGACGGCACTCATCTGCGCGGGATATAGAACCTTTCACCACTAGAGGGTAAGAGACAGGTTGTTGCATAAATGATTGAACTACCCCTGACCATACGGAAGAATGAAGGTCTATTGGAATGAGGCCCCACCGGGCATCTTGCAGGACTTTTTCCTGTAACCCAAGAATAGTAATTCCAAGCCATAAGAAGGAGAGCTCTGGCGATCGGTCCATAAACATCCGCCCAAGAACAAGAGGCTTGTCTAAAGCCAGAGAATCAATAAAAGCTACCGCTCCTTGAAGCCAAGGGGCTACAGCGTTACATTCTACGCCCGCGTCATAGAAGACACTGAGCAACATTGACCGTACACCCCTAACATTGCAGCTCAAAGTTAAAAGTCTGTCCAAGTGGTTTCCCTGGTATATCCATTCATGTTCTGATTGGTTTTCATAGTGAAAGCGTTCTTGCGAAATTTGGGACGGTGTGGTTATTATTGGGTCGTTCCGGCTATTAATGGCGGGAGCTGGTAGTTGTAGTGGCTGGCTGCTTTTCATGGAAGGAAACAGCATGACAGCAGCGAGCGCAGCACGGCTCTGATCTGCAATATTATGTTTTACACAGAAGCTATGAAGAAAACATCTGGCACTTCGAAATGATGGGGCTGAGCGTGATAGGCGTGGAGGAGCTGACGACGTCGCTTTGTATAACAACGAAAACCTCGGGTTAGATTGAAGCCGGATTGACCAAGGGGACAGGAATTTACTATCTCCCAGAGTCATAGTTGCTTGCCAACCATACCCCGGGGCCAGAATAGCAGTCCACCATCTGAACTCCTCCGAGCTAACATGACCAATGTCCACACTGACTACGTTCTGATTAGCCTCCGAGCTTGTCATACTATCTTCATCATAGTTAACTGCACTGCTGCTTGTATATACGAGAGAACAAGGTTCCGACATAATTTCGACCCAGCGAGCAGATAGAATATAAGCCCAGGCCAAAGTAAGGACGGCGATATAGCTTTGATGACCATTAATGAACCACGGCGCGAAGCTAAAGTCATTATTAGACGTCTTAGCGATCGATAATAATATCGGATCTTGTGTGATAACATCAACCTGCACCTGTTGCTGGAAGGATGGTAGTCCATAATTACAGGTCGTCTGCTGTGATCCCCAAATGGAAGACCCGGTAGCATATACTCTGCTATGGCTGGTATATTTGGTGTGTTTCAAAACTAAGTTATTTGAAAAAGAGGGATGTAGGCGAAATAAGTCCGGAAGGGATAGATAAGAGGTAGGCAAGCTGGGGTCTTTGATGGCACGATGATATAGGCTAGACCATAGTTTGAAGCTCTCTTCGTATATGATACGAAACCTCTCTGCACTGAGCCTCACCGGGTCGTTCGTAATTTGTATTGGAGCGGCCATTTTGTTGTTGGCGGTAGCCCGTGGTTTGAATCTAGATTTTGCTGCACGTGCGTGTCCTCAGGTTTAGGTCACCGATTGAAACAAGTTGAATGTATTCGTATCGATATTGTGAATTTACGATATATGGACAGCTCCATCCGTGTAGAACTTGCTGAATAACGTTGTAAGAAAAGTCGGGGAACCCAATTTCTTTGTTGTGTAGAAAAATGTGAGTTTGTCCGGGATCAAGCTATCATTGTAGTTACAAATTCCGTGTTAGATAACAATAACCTGCCTCATTAATTCTATATAATCATTCAAGATTTCTATAGAGATATCGAATCATCCAACAAGAACAATCTTCTTAGCTTCACAACCATAGCAGTTAGTTTACAACACCTCACACGACTTATTCGGTTCAAGAGTATTTTCCATAAGAGATAGTAACTTCCTCTTCCTACAAACCATATTTCGTTTTCCCATAAACTACACTTCGTTATTTACATCAACAATGGCTGGTAGAGCTATGACACAAGGTAAGGGACTCGTACATCATGAGCCCACTACCCCCTTACATGCAGGCGGCAGCTGGGGATGTTGTCTATGCGGGAACCGTAGTCCGTCGGAAATTCCCGTATGTGCGCTTTGCGGGCACTCAAGATGCCCGGGCTGCACTTAAAAGTCTAGTTCTACTCAAATACTTTGGTATTTGGAATAGAGGCTAGTTTCGACGATATGTGAGACATTGTGTCCATCACTGCCGTCAATTAATTTGTAGAAAAGAAGAAAAAAAGTAGAAAAGCGATAAAATAGATAATAAAAAAAAGGGGGTATTTTTACAACCCACTTGACATATTGTACAACTTAATTAGGTAGTGAATGGCCGAACAAGTGACCTATTCTGCGATTGATCAATGCTACGCAGAAGAGTATACTTCGCTATGACACATTTTAGTTCAAGATGAGAATTTATAATAGGTCTTCTAACTGTAGGTAGTTGAATAGGACTTTCAGTATGGATCAAATATCAAGTAGCACTCCGCACCCTAACCATCCAAGTTCGTGGTGACTTTGTTTCACTGAGTAGGAAGCATACGCTAAGTTTTGGATAAGTTCAGATGGTAGTATTAGCCTTCCAAATGGAAATACCAATATAAGACGAAATATTCATCGTCAAAGACCATAACAAGTCAAATAAAAGATATACACTTAGTACTTTTCATGACTAATATTGTTACGTAAGCTAATACATTTTTCGTCTTAGGAGTTTGGAAAATCCCCGACGAAAACGACCGATGACCGCCATTAATGCATTTTCCAAGCATCACCGCCCTTGTGGAAATCCTTATGACTTTTGTTGTCCCTTGGTATTACATGCAGCGTGAAAGAATAGCACCTTTGAACCTTGCGCCGTCATAACGGTCGATTAGAAATTCAGATCAATGGTCATAAGGCTTATCCCATGATCATTCCTTTCATTCCTGCGAGATCGCCCTCTTTCGCGGCGATTTCGAAGTAACCATAGATGATCCTATAAGCAAATTAGTAAAGAAAATATACGAATATGTAAGCGACACTTACGTGACGGCAAGAAGAGTGCCGGTTCCAGAGCCAAGAGCTCCCATAAGATCACTGGCGACGGAGAGCGCACCAATGCAAGCACCACCAAAGGCAGCAGCGGTAGGGATGATGCGCTTCAGCTCCTTGTACATGCTCTGATCACGATGACCAGCCATGACGAGTCCTTGGTCCTTCAACTGCTTGGCAACATCGCGAGGGCTGGAACCAGAGACCTCAATCCAGGTCTTCGAGAAGATAGCACAGGCGCTAAGCATGTACGTGATGTATACAGCGGTGTGGATAGGGTCAAGGACGGCGTCGCGGAAATTGAGCGGGGGAGACATGTAGTAAACAAGACCGGAGATCGCAGAAAGCTGGGCAGATCCTTCCCTCGCTTCCCAGACACCGAACATGCGGACGAGGAGGTTCTCAGAGAAACGGGAGTAGAGCATTTGGCTAATCAGGAAGATGTTGGAGGAAAGGGCGGATTGCAACATGATGGGCATGTTAGAGGTGTAGAATAGACGAACGGGGTAGGAACCACGTGCACCTCGCTGGCGAGAAGACTTGACCGGGATCTCGACGCGGAAACCTTGGAGGTAGATAACGGCGGCGAACACAGCCAGAGTAGCCAGAAGGTTCATGATGTTGGGGAGGTTCTGGCGATAGAAAGCCTCCTGTAGAGCACGCTGCTTGTTGGGCCACGTCATTAATAAGTGGAACAAGGCAATAACAGCACCCTCAAATTCAGGACCACGACCGGTGTTGATGGAAGTAGGAGAGAAGGCCTTCCACATGATCGACTCGCAGATGTTGGTAGCGATAAACAGAGAGATACCACTGCCAAGACCATATCCTTTCTGTAGGAGCTCATCGAGGAGGATGACAATCATACCAGCGACGACAAGTTGGAGAATCAAGAGGAAGACGATACCGGCGCCTAGATCGGAAGGAGGGCCATAAAGACCAGTGAAGACGTAGACAGTTGCAGTGCCGGCAGAGAGGATGAAGGCAAAGAGCTTCTGGGCAGTTTGGTAGAGCTCGCGATCGGATTTGAGGTCAAGGTTGACGTCAATCATGTGGGTACCAGCGAGGAGCTGGAAGACCATGCCGGAGGAGATAATTGGCGTAATACCCAATTCCATCAGTGTTCCTCGATTACTCGCCATCATCATTCGTAGCCAGTATAGAGGATCGGAGGTATCGGACGACACGATACCGTAAAGGGGCATTTGGCTCATGACCAAGAAGATCAGCAGCGTCAGACCTGTCCACATCAACTTTTGGTTGAAGGGAACCTTGGTCTCGGGCTGCTGAACCTCGGGCAGGAATGCCACGAAGGGCTTAACGAGATCAAGAAACCGCACTGATGAAAAGGAAGTTAGCTATTTGGAAGAGTCAATGGCAACGATTGAGTCGCGTCGCAAGGTTCATAGGGTTCATAGGTTATACGAGGGAGCTAGGATGATGTAAAGGATACGAGTAAATATGATATACTTACAGCTACTCATCGTGATATAGGTTAGAGAATATAGATAAAATAAAGGAGAAGATAGAAAGGAAAGTAAATGAAGTGAGCGACAAAGGCCCTCTTATTAGTGTAGAGGTTGTCGCGATATTTTCTCTCGAGGTAAAGGAGAGGAAGGATTCAAGTCGACAGGTAAAGATCTGGCATCAAAAAATTCCCCAAATTGAACTATGTGTCCATTATGCGATAGGTGGAGCCAACCTGCACAGCTGGCAGCACGTGACCCCATGTACCTTAGCTTCAATTCTTGTTAACGTGATACCCGGGCAGTCGGGGGAACCCAAAACAGATTGGACCCTTGAACTTTGATCTAAATTAGAAGGAGCATGGATTCTTACAGAATGTTGAGAATGTACCTCCTAACGAAGTACTTTTGATTAGGTGTAAGGTGCTATAGTGGGGCATTTTGATAAAGCCACACACTTGAAATAAATAAATGTGGCTGTGGTGTCTAAGTGTAGGTACCTATGTCAAAGTTCGCGGTTATTTGCTCTAGATTACCTACAGGTACCTATTCACTTTAGAGGAAAACAATTATATTATTAAAAGTTATTTCTCAATGACTCAAATTATTCCCGATGCATATAATTATAGTCTATGATATCGTCAGCGCGAAAACTCACCTGCTTCCTTAGCAGAAATGTGCGGAGAATGGCTACAACATTTCCAAAGGAGCCTCTTCTGGCTATTCTGGGCACAACTGGTACAGGGAAATCAGATGTAGAGTTCTCCCGTCGTCCACCACTCCTCTAGATGCTTGTAAAAACTGATATCAACTATAGCTTGCGGTAGATTTGGCACTTAAGTTCAACGGCGAAGTTATTAACGCCGATGCTATGCAGATGTACAAGGGTCTGCCAATTATCACAAATCAACTCACGCCAGAGGAGCAAAAAGGTGTCCCACACCATTTACTAGGAACAGTTGACCCTAATGAGCCGACTTGGAATGTCGAAGTCTTCGCACGTGAGGCAACTAGAATTATTCATGAGGTCCGGAGTAGAGGCAAGCTTCCTATCGTAGTAGGCGGTACACACTATTATATTCATGCCCTACTATTCGAAGATAGTTTAATTAGCATGAAAGGCGTTAACGATGATATTCTGAGTCACCGGCCCCAAGAAGAAAACATAACACAATTTCCAATCTTGGATGGGCCCACCGATGTCATGTTTAAACGCCTTCGAGAGGTAGACCCAGACGCGGCAGATCGGTGGCACCCTGAGGATCGACGTAAGATCAGGCGTTCCCTCGAAATATTTCTAACTACGGGAAGACGGGCATCGGATATCTACACTGAGCAGAAGCAAGCAAAGGCATTGTCCATCCAAACGAGACGTCCTTGGCAGTCGTTAATGTTTTGGGTATACACCGAGCCCGAGAGGCTGAAGGAACGTCTTAACAAGAGAGTGGATAAAATGTATAAAAATGGATTGATGGATGAGGTGAAACTTTTGCACGAAAGCAGGCGAGTGCGATCCGAGCATGGCGAAACCGTAGATCTCACACGTGGAGTATGGCAATCCATAGGATATAAGCAGATGGAGTCTTTCCTCGAGGCTGAGCGAAACGAGACGAGCTCAAATGAGGCAGATCAACTAAAATTAGCTGGACTGGAAGACATAAAAACCGCGACGAGACAATACGCAAAATATCAATTGCGATGGATCCGACATAAAACCATCCCTGCATTGAAAGATTACGAGGCAATGGATTTTCTGTTCCTATTAGACAGCTCTAACGCTGATAATTTCTCTATTGGTGTTCTTGAGCCAGCTTCGAGAATATGCCTAGAGTTCTTAAATGGCCATGGTTTAGCCAAACCAATTGAGATGTCAAACACGGCACGCGAAGTCTTGATGGCTTACGACGACGATAATTCGCCACCAAAAACAACATTTAAAGTCAAGACTTGCGATCTCTGCAATGTCTCTCTCCAGTCAGAAGATCAGTGGCAGAAGCATATTAAGGGGCGAAGACACTATCGTGCTGTTCGGAGTAAGAAGTGGACTGCGCTCATTCCCCTTGATTCAGAGAAGCAAAGTTGAATATATCTCATAATTACTAGTTTCTTGTGGCAGGAATTAACTTAAAAGTCGCAGTATTAAAGATGATTGACAAAGAGATAGTCCCTCTACTACCTAGGTAACAGATGATGTTTATGATACCTAGGAGGTTACTGTTTACCTAATCTATTAAAACTCGCAGGAAGTTGTCAGCCGGCTCTTGACAACCTCTTCTATTGGATCGTTCATTCCCGGGTGGATCCCGAAACAAGCCTCGGTTAATTGGTCTGTGCATGGCGACTAAAAGATTTAGCTTCTTCTACTTTTTGCTCATCTTACTAGGGCCATTCTTCACGAAACCCAAGTGGGCATTCTCCCACTAGCTATGCCTACCTAATGCTTCACCTCTAACCATAGTGATCATACACTTATGGTCAGTATGTCGCGGCGCTTACTGAACTCCAAAAGTTTGCAGATATGTTCTAGAGGGTCTAGCTCAGGCTTTGATCTTCGCCAGGCTTTTATAAATAGAGTAAACAGAAACTCTATTCCATTAGGTTGTAAATATGAGGTTGTATCCCAGTTGACAACTCAAACTCGTGGATACAGCACCGCATGGCGAGGCCCTGTTCCGTGGCTTGGAGTCCAATCTTCACCAGGCCGAATTTCGATCGGGCATAAAAGAGGACTGGCAAGCCAGACGGGGAAAGGTTACTCATTAGTTCGACTGAGGGACGACGACACATTATATGTTGGTAATCCCGGTGAAAAACCGCTGGTATTGGATCGCCACTGGTTGCGTGACTCCTGTCAGTGCAGCATATGTGTGAACCCAGACTCTGGCCAGAAAAATTTCGGCACTTGCGACGTACCGACAGAACTCTCAATCAAATCAATCAAAACGACTAAGGAAGGAGGTCTTAGAGTCGTTTGGGAGAAGGATTTTTTATCACTCGGTAACCATGAGTCCTACTACACAGCTAATCAGATCGATTCCTCGGAACCTGAATATGTGTTACCCGGAATAACATTATGGGACAATGATTTATTACAACGAGACCGTCTCACTATTGATTATAACGACTGGATAGCAGGTGAGCATGGGCTTTTCTCCGGATTACATCGACTTCATACCCACGGAATAATCTTCATACGCAACGTACCATCATCAGAGGAGTCGGTTATATCTATTGCCAACAAGATTGGAAACCTTCAAGAAACATTCTATGGAAGGACTTGGGATGTACGCTCTAAGCCGAACGCAGAAAACGTAGCCTATACAAACGCCTTTCTCGGACTACATCAAGACCTACTGTACATGCAAGATACGCCTCGTCTACAACTCCTACACTGTATTGAAAACACATGCGAGGGCGGCGAGTCTATGTTTAGCGACGGCATCAGAGCCTCCCACTTGATGGATCTTGGGCCACGCTCGCTCTTTGAATATCTGCTCAACAAAAATATACGGTATCAGTACAAGAAGCACGGGCACTATTACCAGCTGTCGCGACCCGTCATCACCAAATTAAGCAAATTCTTGCACCAGATAGCCTGGTCCCCGCCGTTCCAATCCAGTATCCAACGTGTAGCCAAGTCCGCAAGTGGCAGCCAAAATCATCGCGAATGGCTAGAGGCTGCAACCATATTTCGACAGCTCCTAGAAGACAAGCAATGGATGTACCAATACAAGATGCAGCCTGGAGAGTGCGTTATATTCGATAACCTCCGCGTCCTTCACGGTCGGAGGCAGTTCAATACCAGTTCCGGAAGTCGGTGGTTGAAAGGGGCGTATATTTCAGATGACGTGTTTAGAAGCAAACTAGTCTCCTCAAGTAAGGAACTATCAGAGTTGGATAAAGGAAATCAGCTCGCCTTATTATATCAAGTTTCTAGCTTCAACCTGAAGTACAAAATCTGGGACGGGTGTGAGACAATGAACCGGATGTCGCAGGCTGGAGTTGATGCGAATGAGAGGAGCTATACCGAACCGAATGGCGCTACGATTTCGTACTATTAGATACGAATATGACCACGTAAAATACCCAGGAAGAACTTTGAGGATTACCCAGCATCAAATTATCAAGGCTAAATATAGCTTATTACATTCGCTGTTGTCCTCAAGAAACTATAGGTACCTATAACTTTACTCGCTGAATTTTAACAAGATAAACTACCCCTGAGTTTCCCTTTTTTACGCTTAATACTAGCTATTCTATACGATTGACAACTATTTGCGTAAAAGTTGACGCTTTTAATTCATTCAATCAAGCTCGTTATTACCTATATGTCCTCCATCAATATCTTCGCTGATAAGGGACAAGTAGAAAGTTCAATGTATCCCGAGTACGTTGCGGATAAATTGTCGCATCCCCTCGGTTAGCACACTCAAGTGATGATTCAGAAACGCCTTGCATAACAACGCCCTTTCCTCGTCGGTCTTGTCGACCATAGGCACGCCCATAGTTTCTCCTAATACGACCTACGCTTCTTCGAGCTCTTGTTCTTCATCCAGTAATCCCATAGTTACGGGTTCTTCGAACTTTGATTTCGGTTTCTTCGCAATAGTTTGTGAGGCATGGTTTGTAACCTCGAGTGACAACGCTTGCTGTTCTAGCTCTTGTTCGGGTTCTTGATCCGGTGTTTCCTCGGGCTTTTTATTTGATTTCAGCACCCTTTTCTTCAATTCGTCGTCTATAGGACAGTCTACGGCTCCCAAGGGTGGGCTGCTCGGGGGTGAGATTCGAATGATGATATAATCATCCATTGACCGTTCTGAGGAACTATCAAACATGGTGAATAGTAGAGATTCGAAGTAAGAAGATAGATAACTAGAGGCTTTTTGCGGGGGTTTTGTGGTAAGATGTAATGGATGTTAAAATTTTCGGGATTTCAGCGTGCTGCAGATGATTAGGTGCCGAGTTGATGTATTGGGTAAATAAAGCTAAAGAAGGAGGTATACGCTAGATCCTATGGTATATCTAATATTGCGTACCATACTCATTTTTACCTTTCGTCATAAGTACGGCTCCTTCCTACTACTCACGAGATCAATTAATAATGATGCCATGCCCTTACTCTTCCACTGTAAGGTTAACGGCTTCCGTTTTAAGTGCTACGCAATATCATAGTATCACACTCTATGCAGGCGTACGTAAATAACGAAAACTCCATGACCACCTACTCACATGAAGGTTTTTCTAAAAAGAAAATTAGGGACGGGTGCATTGTACGTCGTAAGTCCCAAGGTCATCCTATTAATGTCCCGGTACTGCCTACTCTAAATCCTCAGGGCATTTATCACATTCAGAAACTCGGTACCTCTAATACGTGAAAGGGTATAGTATCTCGAACTCCGACTTCAATAACCCATCTCTTTCTCTAACGCGATCTGGTCATATTCTGACTCGAGATACTGCTTTTCTGCAAGACACAGTTCTTTCAATTTATACATCTCGCCTAGTGCTCTCCTCAGACATCTCCTTTTCTCTGGGTGTGGTTCCTGAGCTATTTTCTCTATCACCTCTTCCGTTTGCACCCGTAAGTTATGTAGTTGACAGTTCATTTTCCGGATATTCCTTTGGATTTTGTTTTGACTGGCGGTAGGCATTTTGGCAAAGGGGATACTAAAGGCGCAATGCGAAGAATGCTAGCTTAGGAAAGGGTCTGTGCTTCTGGTTTGGGGAATCACGAGATGTGATACAGCCAGTCTGGGTGGGATAAATTAGGGGGCTGTGGTATGGGTTTACGCTATAATACGAAAATATCGACACAAGGAGCGAAATGTGTTTATTAAATACGTTAAGCTATATGCTCCTAGATTTAGTACTGATTATATTCACATCTGCAAATCATACCAAGATCTTGTCAGTAAACTATCACTGTTGCGTAGCTCTTGGTCTTTGGTACTTGGGTAAGTAATGATATTGTTAGGATTCTAGATGAGATAACTAAAACAAAGGATAGTTGCAGACTATATCAGTCAGTTACGGCTTTACGTTGTTATATTATAGTTCTAGTTATACGGAACAATGAAGTTGTATGCGATTTCTTGATGATAGTTATTGTAAATTCATTCGCTTTCGTTAGACTCCCTAGCTACCTATTTACCTAGATATCCAGATAACCTACATTTAGTTACCCGAAATGAATCTATTGCATATAGGATGACTATGATACCAGAATAGAACTTCTAATGCGTAAAAGTCTATGATGTCTCGGACTTCGACTTTATTCACCTTGTTTTTGTTCATTTATTTCATCATACTCGATCTTTAGCGCATTCTTCTCCGCGGTGTACTTCTCTAGCAATTCCCGGATCTCGCTCAAGACTTGCCTCAACTCTGCTCGTGTGTCGTGGTCGGGTTCTTCAGCTAAAGCCTCTTCTGCCTCAGTCTCTTCTACCTTTAGGTCATGTAGCTCGCGTCTCAATTCCCCCAGTCGCTTCTGTATTTCGTTCTGGCGAGAAGTAGGCATTTTGAAATGGAGATATGGTGCAAGGCGGAAAGCGTTGGTCTCGGAAAATCCTCTGGAGTGTTGATAATTTGGTTGGGTTAGGCCAGAACGTTAGCTGAGGATCTAAAATGTTATTGCGTCGTGTAAGTAGCTGCGGTATCTACCTATGTGTAGTTGGATATGGCAAGTAGATTCTAAATTGCGGTATTACTATCTTGGTTAGAATGGGTTTGGCAACTTTTATATCGATCCATAGAGGGGGTATGAAATTATTGACCTCCAGGAGAGCGGAAGATGCTGGTTAAATATGATGGTCTATATGCCACATGGTTCAAATTTACGCATGTTCACACTTGTAAAATCCATTAATACTTGGGTAGTCAGGAAATGAATCTTACTACTTGTAAAAGCAATGTTATATATATCGTGAATCACTAATTTGTTTTAGACGATGCTAATTTTCTGTTAGGACTCGGGATGAAATATCGAAGACGAAGAGCATTACGAACACGTATATCCAAGGTATTCACATTAATCATCTTGTATCCATCATCCAAAATTTTCTACACATGAATGCGCAAGATGCGTAAGCAATCGTCAAGCGCTGCAAGCAGTTCTATGGCCAACCCCGCGGCTTCTTCATATGTGTCTTTAATCTTTTCCCAATATTCTTGAGTAGGAGCACCATAATTACAATCCATTCCATATTTTTGACTTAAAAACATCATAAATAAGGCCATCAAAATGTTTTCCCGAATAAGAAAGGCTGTTGAACTTTCCGCGGACTCTAATTTCAATACTCTTAATATTTCCATTCAATGCTCTCTTGATAGCAGCTCTTTTCGTGCTCCATGCCTTGACATTGTTCATCACGTTCTTGACATCTTGGCTATGAGAGGCCATTTTTGACTACTGCTAGAATGTAGAAGGGGAAAGTTGTAGGTTCCTGCTGGAAAGCTGATTTGAGATGTTGTTTGTATTTATTTTGAGAAAGTGAGGAGTATGTAGGTAAATTGGTACCAGGTACATATTTCAAGAATCTACACTTTCGCCTGCGGAAGGAGGAAATATATGCTGGCTCAATTCCAGGCATGTTATTCAAAAGGCACGACTCAGTCCTGATTTGATCCTTGTCCGCCTCTGTCATGATTCTGAGAAATATAATGAGTTAAGACAGATTCATTCACGAGTCAAATTGAATCTCTGTACCTTGAGAATACGTTACGAGAGTGACAGTATCATGACTTATTGGTGGTACTAATTTAATTATAGGTACTTACAGCTAAATCCCACTAGACAGTGCTTTAATGTCTAGAGTACAGTTGATGTCCTAATTACCTACCTAGGTATGTATCACCAATGTATCGTCCATTGCGTTTACTATACGTAGGATAATTAACGTCAGCTAATTAAACGCCGTATAGTCAGCCTACGGCTATGCATACTGACAATGTCCTCTTTTCTAGAGAAGGATGTTAAAATTATTAGATATCACGGAGCTTAAATATGAAATTTAGACGAATTGAATCAAAACAGCCTATAAAGCATCTTGGGTAAAAACAACTTAGGTACATCTCACACTCTAGAGGCTCCAAGCAACTATTTGTTTAGTCCTTCTGGGTTACATATAAACACGGTATACATCATTGCAACTGATCGTCCTAGATAGGTAGTACTATCAATGTGGCTGTAAGATCATTAATCTATCAGAGTGGTCTGGATATACAGTTATTGGATGTAGATCATGAATATATAGTGACTAACATAATGTCTTAGCATTATGATAGACACCAACTGTGAGGAAAATAAAGAAGTAATATATAAATCTCCTCTACTCGGACAAGGGGACCAATTTTTAAATCCATCTACCATCCATCCATCCACTATCCATCCATATCTCAACTACCAATTGTTACTTCTTCGCAATAAACATCAATAACATCTCGTCTCAGCCTGATAGTAGGGAAATACAATCTTCACTCTCGTGATTATAGTAACTCCGGTAACCAAAGATGGCCTCACACAGCGGACAGTTCGTTGAGCTTATGAATAAAGCCCGGGACTGGAACCAAAAGAAAATCAAAGTCAACAACGCACTACAAAACGAGAATATTGAGAGAAAGATCAGAACTGATGTCCGAAAAAAGTTTGATAGCCTTTCTGGACCGGGTAAACGTTTCGGAGATCTCGTAGACGAAATTTACTCGTCAGGTTATGGACATGAGATGGCTATTGAAGTTATCCCAAGTGAAGAAAACTGGGAAAAAATCAAAGACAAATGGGAGCAAGCAGCGGCGGCGGTGCAAGAGCTAATTATGAGCATCAACGAATGCTTAGCCTCTCTAGGTGTCTAGGTATTGCTGTGGATGAATTTCATTAAGGATATATAGGGGAAGTGTTTGCGATGAATTAGGTTGAGAGTTTGAGAATATACATTACTATCTTTCGCGCAAGGATGTTTAACAACAGCGTTATATTAGTGTTCATGATACTCTATTGAAATTCGTCTTACCTGCTAACGCAACAGCTTCCAATCCGTACCCTCTCCCACTTCTTATACTTTAACAAAGCCAGGGCTTAGGATATCTTCTTCGACTGAGAAAGTACATGTGAAGTCCTTGCCTCTTCTAAAGATATTGGGAGCACCGTTATATCAAATAGCATAGGATGCCAACAGCCAGACACTCATAATAAGTCTTGGATTATTGGGGTTAGGGGTGTTTAGTAACCTATTAACAGGTACCTCAGATATTTCATTCTCGAAGTGTATGAAACTAGAGTGGTGAGTAACCCTATAACTACCTCTAAGTACGTCTACTACATATTGTAAATAGTTAATTAAGGACCATGCTATTGATACCTATGTTGTGATATGCGTAACTACTTGAATTAGCTTGTTACTTCAAATAAGTGAGATGCAAGACATTCTAACAAACAATAGTTATTGTGAACAATAAAAATGTACAGCTAGGATAGACAAGTAATATATAGATGTATCCAGTTTAATGTCTTTCATCTCTACGGGATGAAAGAAATGACTGGTATATTTAAGTCCATTACTTTAATATCGAGTTTGTGGGGTGAATCCATATGAGTTTACCTAAAGTAACATAACACCGCTTTGCTGTAATAAGGTACGTATCTTATTAGACCCACAATAAAGTACATGAAAATTGCACGGCCACATCTGGAACCCCTCCAATTAAGTACATAGGTACCCAGGTAACAGCATAGCTGCCGCAGCAGCTGCATAGAAAGCTGTATATTAGCACTGTAAGTACAACCCCACCATCTGCGGCTTCCTCATTTATCATTTACCTATTGTTTAACATCCGTCCC